AGAAGATGTGGTACATATATACCATGGAATATTACTCAGCATTCAAAAAAGATAAACACATGCAATTTGCAGCAACATGGATGGCGCTGGAAGGGATCATGCTCTAAGTTCACTTTTAATTCAACTCCTCTGCCTGGCTGCAGAGAACTTGGCGAGGGCTTCCTCCCTCAGTCTGTCCGTCTCTTCTCATGCCTGCTCCTACCTCTACTCTGGCCCCTGCCTCTCTGGGCTATGGCCCTAGGATTGCCAGGTAGTACACAGGCTGCCTTTGGCCACGGAGGCCCACTGGCCACCCCCAGATCCCCATCTCCTGGGGTGTACAAACAATACCACCCCCCCAGGGTCCTCAAAACATAACACTACCCAGCCAAAGTTCCTACGCTTTCTGGTGGGATTGTCCATCCAAGTCCAGTGGCTTTTCCCTGCATCAGCCCTGGTGAGCTCCAAATCATGGTCCTTTCTTCCCAGATGATTCTGTTGCCTCAAAGTGGTGGGCTGGTCCTCACAGGCCTTCTCCTCCTCCACTCAAAGTCTCATCCCGCAGCTCCCGGACCTTGGCCACCTCCTGTGCTCCTGAAGCATTTTTACCTCTTCTTGCAGCTCCTAGATTCTGATCACCACCTGTGCTGCCCTGGCACCTAAATAAATTTCTTGAAAAAAAAAAAAACTGCTTTAACAGTCTTTGCCTCAATTGTGTTCTGCTGTAACTCCAGCAGTCACAGGCTCGCAGTCTGCTACTCCTCAGTCCCTCCCGAGGTCTTCAAGGGCTCTATACCCATCTGCATCCAATCATCCTGCCAACTTACGCCAATTGTAGCGCTAGGAAGGCATAGAGCTGGTTCTCTCTCCTGCCTCTGCTTCTCTTGGTGAATGCATCAATACCGCAGCCATGGCCCACAGAAGTAAACAATACAACTTATAATAACTAATAAATTCAGGTGCCCACCATCAGGCTTGTAATCCTAATGGTAGTGTTACAGGACAGGGAGAGGGGCAGCCCAAACCCCACAAACCTGCCTATTCTAAATGGGTTCTGCCATCCGCCACATCAACACAAAACATATGAGACTTTAATGGGAAGGAACTTTAATACAACTAGGAAACAATACAGGAAAGGCAAAGAGTCTAGTTTCTAAATGAAGCACCCAAAGTTACCCGTACCCTCGTGGGTAAAAGTCCATCCATATGGGATTGGCCCAGAGCAAGGCCACAAAGCCTGCCACAAGTCTAAAGCATCTTCCAGTGAGGACCCACAGAAAAGGGTCACAAACAACCAGACAAGCCCGGAAGGAAAAGAGCAAAATCAACATCAAGATAAAAGCTGCCATTGTCACCTCCCCATGGGTCTCACCCACATCTGTGTCACCCCGTCCACGAAAAAAGACAAGCGCAGTTTCTTCACGTGTCTCTAGGCTCCATGCGCCTCCTCCAGGTCTCCTGGCTCCATCCTGCTTCCTTCCTCAGTCTCTTCTGCAGCTTCTCCTCTCCCTGCTCAGCTCCACCCTCCTTGGTGGGGCAGGGAACCTCCCCCTTTCCTGGGGACCACCCTGTTACACTTCCTCAGTCTCCTCTGCAGCCTCTTCTCTCCCTGCTCACTCCACCCTCCATTTGGGTGGGGCAGGGAACCTGAAAGCTCCCCCTTTCCTGGGGCCCACCCTGTTACAGTAGGAGGGCAGAAAAGCCTAAAAATCATTTACCCTACACTTACCTACTCAGACCTACAGATTATCTTCTTTTCCATCTCAAATATGTTTCCAGTTCACCTAGATAACTTCAAATTATGTTTTTTTTTTCCTTTTATTTTACATTAAGGTTAATTTGGTTTACAATGCTGTAAATGATTCAGAGGTACAGGAGCACACCTCTTCAGAGGATATTATCACCCCACCACCATCGTCCTCCACCACAGTCCATGGCTAGATATTTTAAGTATGTGTTTAAAATAAAAGTTTTACTCTCCTACAGACATTCAATGAGTTAAGAGGGGTGTTGCTATAACTTCTGCAATTCTCAAGATTAAAAGTCTATGCATAAACTTCCCTACATTTATTTTCATTGTATTAAATGATTATTTGAATTATTTCTCTCACGGTGAATACCACCTCTTAGAAATCCCACTGATTTAATTTTTGCTAGTATATTTGAGGACAATATTTCATTTTTAATTGTAATCAAAACTCCATCGTTACTACTAAAGTTGAATACCTCCTAAAGTAGAGCACCTATGGACTTGCAGGTTTGAGTTGTCTTCACTGTTTGGCTTTGTGTTTTTGTTAATTGCCTGCTGTAAAGTAGAAGAGCTTTACAAATTCTGGAAAAGGCTATTCAGTTGTAAACTGTAAGTGTCCCACCACAATTGTTCTCATTTGGCTCTGCTAGGGATTTTGACTCTCCGTGACTGTTGTACACACACACAGGGCAAGCTGAAAGGCATGAGGTAAGTACCCCAGCTCTTGTGTGTGCATAAATAAATAAATCTTTAAAAATAAAATAAAATAAAAAACTGCTTTAACAGTGCCTTCCTGGTGGCGCAAGAGGTTAAGCACAGCACTTTGAAGCTATCTGCAGCCTCCGGCAGGCAGCACAAATGCAATCCCCTTGGCAGGGAGCTGACCCACGTGGCACAGCAGACCTCTCCACTCTAGCCCACTGCTCCCCTCAGCAGTGTACTTCAGTCACTCTGCCTGTTCTGTTCCCCACTCTGTCTCTGGTGAATCTTCTCATCCCCGCACCTCTGGCCTATACCCCATCTCTTATATGCATAAATAAATGAATCTCTTTAAAAAAAAAAAAAAACTGCTTTAACAGTCTTTGCCTCAATTCTGCTCTGCTGTAACTCAGCTGAAATATACATAGTTAAAAAAAAATCAAAAGTACAAAAAATTCTAATCTATGTCTTAAATTTTTACTTTCTTTTTGATATTGATTGCTTTTTAAAATGTCTGTGCTACTATTGGCTATGTTTATTAATATTCTCCTTCCTAGTTTGACCTTTTGTTTTGTAGTCCTTTTTGAAAAACTCCTTAAGTACTCTATATCAGAAAGATGTCTTTCTACATTTTCTCTTTTTTTCTGTAATTTTTAGTATACATTGAGACTACTAGAGATTTATTTATCTGCATGAAATAAGGACCTAATCCTGAAATGAATAGCCAGCCCACCCAGCACCACTGATTGAATAAACACCCTTTCCTCACCTAGGTGAGGAAAACACTATCTTTTTGATAAATGAAGTTTCCATATGTGAATCAAGTTGTTTGTGGGCTCTTTATTATATTCCACTAAGATATTTTTCTACTCCTGAAACAGTATCATACACTTTATTATTATAGTGTTGTATTGAGTTTTGTTATCTGATAAGGCGAGATTCATTTTATTTTAGCAACTTTTTAAAATTTCAAGATAAATGATTTGGTATTTTCACCTTAACCTGTTGTTTTATTTCAGTTTGTCCTTCATAAATTATTGTCTTTTCTAAAGGAAACCTAGATACTTAGCATATTAAGTATAATAATTTAAAATGGTGGGGGGAAAGGATGTCCTGAAACGAACTCCACAAACACAGGTTTTATGGACTCCATCCCCACCCCACGACACCAAGGACTATAAATCCCATAATGCCATCATCACCAAGGAGAAGATTGCTGGAAATTGAGGGTAGAGTTAAGCAGCCAGGCTTGCTGTATAAGAGGATATGTGGGCCTTGGGGGTGCTTGTTTTTTCACCAGCTTTCAGCGTGATATTGGGGTTCCAGCTCAGTGGAACTGGTAGGACACATTCACCAATTTATCTCCCTCTCTTTCTCCCCGAGTTATTCATTTCTTCATTTTTCCTTCATTTGTAAATTTGTAAAACATTTTATTAATGCTTTTGTGGGTGCCTGCACTTGAGTCTTACTTTAAGTCCCTTTTAAATACGTGGGTGAGGACCCACAGTCAGAACCCATTTCATATCAGGGTTGCACTGTAACAAAAACATTATTTGAAGATAATTTGTAACTTGTAACATGAGTGCTGACTTTATTATTTTTTATATTCTAAACACCTTGCTATTCAAAGCATGAACATTCCAAAGACAAAATGTACTTTAATTTTCAGAAAACAATCTCGATATTCCCATAAAGCATAGGTCTGGCGTTAAGGAAGAGGTTATCTTAACTCGCTGTATTGTTATAATTGGCATATTTAAACAGATAAAGTCCAAGGCAAGTGAACAGTATCTTCCCACCCAGAATACTTCCTTAAAATAGAAACAAATGCCTTATTTCTCTCACAGCAGCTACACCCATTCATTGATAACTTCTCCAGGCCATAAAGAACAACCATGTGATACCTTGTTTAAGTGGACTTTCTTTAAATTAAATCAATAGTTCCTTAACATTGCATTCCATAACTTCACATTGGTGGCATAATGAAGACTACAAAATGTGTGTTTGTGATATACCACACATATAATAACACAGAAAGAGAAAGGTAGGGGAAGGAAGAGGAGACAGATGTACATATTAATATATGCTGATGTCAAGTTTTACATATATTTATGCATGTAAGTTATTTTTAGAATGTCTACATCTATGTAGAACAGAAGAAATGCTTAATGACCTGAGTCAGAGGGTTGAAGGTTGATCTGTTAGGAACTCAGAATATCTAGGTCACGTGCCTAATAACTAATTTGTTTACCATGAATTTCACTTATTTCCTAATAGTTTTCAAAATGATAAAGTCTTGTATTTGTTTACAGCATGTATTTTTATTCATCTTGACACGTGGCGGATTCATACTGATTACCTTTTACAACTCTAGGCATCTTTTGACTCACTTATACCTTCTTAACTGACCTGTTAAAGCTACTTAATAATGTTGCCAAAGGAACTACTTGACTCATTTACACACACTGGTAAGATTAGTGTAGATGTATGTTGCTGCTTTACAAATCTTTGAAGACTTGAGGGGTTTTTTTTTTCCAGGGGGTGAAGGTCTTTATACCTTCAAAAGCCAGAAATGATGTCAAAAAGAAGTGTACCTGCCAGGTACTGTTGTCTCAACACCTATGAAGCCGTATTTGCAGCTCTCTTTGTCATGATGGTGGTGGTTTGTGCTGGATTAATTGCGGTGTCCTGTCTGGCAATCAAGGAGTCACAAAAAGGTAAGTTATATACCATTGACTATTGAAGGTGTTCTTACCTGCTGATAAGTTATATGCATTGCTGTGCTTTCATGACAAGGTATTTATGCTCATTCTGAGATTCGGCTATTTTACTGTCACATCATAGAGTATTTAAAAAGCTAATTGGCATAAAATTTGAAATTTACAGAGTTAAAACCTAAGACTTAAGTTTTTAAAATAAACTGTTAGGGGGAAAGGATGTCCAACCACGTTATGCAAGTTTCTCAGTTTCTGGGCCTCCCTGGTGGCACAGGGGTTAAAGACACAGCGCTATGAAGCTATCACCAGCCACTGCAACACCAGTTCAATCCCGGTCAGGGAGCTGACCCACAGGGTGCAGCAGACCTGTCCTGTCTAGTCTGCTGCTCCTCTCAGCAGCGTATTTCAGTAGATCTGCATATCCTGCCTCCCACTGTTTCTGGTGAATCCTCTCACCTACCGCACCTTCGGCCTACATCCCAGTTCTTGTATACATAAATAAATAAATCTTTAAAAAAGGGCAAGTTTCTCAGTTTCACAATAGAACAAGATACATCTCATAGTCTGTATGTTCATCACGGCAGGATTTAAATCATAAACATACTAAAACATTGACTATACAGGTCAATAACTAGACAAGTTAAAGAGAAAATATTGTTTTTTCCTAGAGAATAATAACTTCACTCTCTTATTGGGACAACAATTTGAATGTAAACAATGTAAGGGAGCTTGGATGCAAATGCAGACTTATAGAAATGTGAAGGTGCCTAAGTAGTAACTTGTGATTTAAAAAAAAAGAAGAAAGAAAACCATTACTCAGAGCTTGGGTTTCAAAGATTTTCAACTATATTCTTCTGTTGCAACTTACGTGCATGGGTGGTGGAAGTGCTAGAGTGACAACACCCAAGGGGGAAATCCTATACCGTGGACACACTAGCAAGGATGTAAAATAGTAGTACCTCAAAAACAAAAAAAAATTAAAATTAAATTATATTTTCTATCAATGCATGTGAGATGAGTAAGCTCACACACAGCTGCTAGATGAATTAAGCACTGTCCATATGCCCCCTGGGAATGGACAACAACAAACTTGAACTTGGTATTTCCTAGATTCTGCCCAATGCAACTTTTAGCTTTATTAAGTTTTATTTGTATCATTTCACTGTTATAAGCTGCAACATGCATATAAAAAAACAAACAAAAAAATCTTATGAGTTAGTTGTTATTCTTGCCCTCATTTTGTATATGAGAAATCAGAGATAGAGCTTGTTACTTCTTTAAATTTATATTATATTACTAGATAATAAAAGATTCCAAATTAGATAATCTGACTGTGAGACTTTGCTCTTATTAACCATTTGCTATTTTATGGATAATTTTTAAAAACTGCCATCATAGACAATAACCTGAATATTACACTTGTTTTTTTTTTTTTCCTGAGAAAATGTTCGCATTTTTTATATGATGAATTGTAAAAAGTAGGCATATTAATTCTTTCTGAAGAGTCACAGGTTAAACCTTTTTAAATGTGATTGAATTGGGTTTTATCAAGAAAAGTCAGCCTTTCATTTAGTTATTTTCTTCTGGTTTATAAATAAGTATTAATTCAAATGTAACAAATATGAATGTAAATAATTATAGTTTAATAAAATAATTCCTATATAACCCTAAATTTATGTAAACACTACAGCTACTTACAGAGATATACTTTAAGGAAAAAGAATACTTTTATATATCTCATATGACTATAGGAAAAATAACTAAATAGAAGTTCAGCTAGACCCTTAGAAAATTAAGTGCTTTAGTCTTTTTAAATTGAATAACTCAAGTTTGTATAATCATTTGGAAGTCCATTGGATTCTTTGATGTTCAGTAAAGATACAAAAGTTGGCTATTCTACAATCAAAATAGAGAATAAATATAAAAGCTAATATGATTTAATAGAGAACAAAAGAATATAAAAGGGATTCAGTTAAATCTATAATAGAGCATTAGAAGGCATAAATTATGATATTTTTAAGTCATGTTTTACTATATCAATTTAGACTTACAAAAACATTGTAAAATTGTGCAGGTCTTGATAACCTCTATCCAGTTTTAACTAGTGTCAGTTATCATGTATAATATAATTGTCAAAACCAAAATATGAACATCGATATAATCCTATTAACTAAATCACATTTTATTCAAATTTTACCAGTTTTTCCACTTTCTTTTACTTATTCAGAATCCAATACGGATTCCGATAAAGATTTAGTTATCATGTTTCTGTAGCCTCCTCTCCATGACAGATCCTCAGTCTTTCCTTGTCGTTCACATATTTAAACATGTAGATCTAAATGTGATTTTGAATATTTAAAACGCAAATTAAACAGTATAAGTAACAGTGTTACATTAATTATGCAATTGTAACTGTTTAGATTATATAAGATATTATTTCTACAGTTCCATATAGCCTGGGAAGTTTGGTGTCAATGTATGACAGATTCTGGGTTCTAAAGTTTGTTATTACTAAATCCAGATTCCAGATCTGTCACTTATGACCTTTATCATGTTGGGAAATTTTCTTAATGAATATAATTTCCTATTGCCCATCTTGGAAAAGAAGAAATAGCATCTTCATAACCCTGGTCAATTATGTATCATTATTATTACATTGATGATTTTATCATTATGAATTATCATTATGAGGGTTTCAGTTGAAGTGATTCATTTTCAATATAAATATATATCAAAGAAAATATTCTGATAAAGAGATTGTGCAGGACTTAATGGTATATGCCATTACCTACACTTATATTCAATTTATTAACTTTTTTCCTTACATTTTTTCCTATTGAGATAATATATTTTTTGCAGCATTTTCAATAACTGCTGCAATAATGATAGCTATCATCTAAAAGCAAAAGGTCATACATATCAATTTTATAATTATTAGAATGAAAGAAGTAGCTTCAAAGCTATGTTTCAAAGTAACAAACACACTGAAATCTTCACAGCGATCCACATGTAGGAAACCAGCAGTATTCCTGGATGCTAGGTGTTCAAGAAGTGTCTGAAAGCAACTACAAAACTTTTAATGGTTCATTTCTCACCATGTTTCCCTGAATTGGTTCCCATAATTGGTGGAACTTGCCCATCCTGTGTCTTCCAACAGAAATCTCAATAATAAAAATAACCTGGAAGCTTGACGTGTCGGTTAGTCTTCAAAGACAAGAAAAAAATTTAATTGGATAGTGAAGAAGCTTATTTTTCAATCTTTTGAAACAAATAGACATCTAAAAATAAACCTGATTATGAAACATGAAGACTGCCTAGGAAAAGCAGAAACTACATGTTAAAAACATGTTAACACTGTATGTTAAAAAGCAAGACCAACATGTTAAGCAAGAATTTTGCTTCTACGTCTAAGCCAGAATGTGTATATTCTCTGTCGTTAATTTGCATTTTTAATGTTTTGTTTCTTTTTAATTCATCTAGATGCAGAATTTGGAAAAAGTCATGAAGCCAGAGGAACATTTAAAATAACATCGGGAGCTACATTAATCCTAATTTGCAAGATAAACTCTCAGTGGAGTTCAAAGTGCTTGCATTTGACCTTCAGCAAATGGTAGGGAACTCTAGTTTTGTTTGGCTATAGATTTTATGACATAGTTTCATTAATTACTCACAAAAAGATACATGGATCTCATTTCCTTGCTTTAAAAAATTAATAAATAAATGTAATATGCCCAGGACAATTAGATATATGAACACCTTCACCACAGAAAAGGAAATTTCCCAATTATTTATAATAAATAATTTTATAATAAAAATTACATTGGTTAGTTTTAAATAAAAGTTTAAATCTTTAATGTTCTTTTTAATTTTTTTTTTTCAGTTGGATGAGATCTTTCAATCAAGTAATCTGAAGAATATATATAAACACTCAAGAGTTTTACAATTTACGTGAGTATAGCTCAAAATTTTCCTTTCACTAGAGTGGAAATTTTCCTTTCACAGAGTCATAATTAGTGATCTTTTCACTAATATTCATAAAATAGCATCACTATATTTAGGAAAAGTGGTGACATTCTAAATTTTATTGAGGATTGGGAAAAGTGGTACAGCATAAACTTTCATATTAATAGTAAATAATAATAATAATAACTAACTCTGTATAATTGACCTTATGTTAACATGTTTTCTGCAGAAACACATAGAGAGGACTGGCTTTGAATGTAAGTAGTATGTAGAGAAATAGTCTGCATACTATTTATAATTTATAATCAGAACATACAGATATTTAAACTGTATCAAGTGGGAGGAATAGAAAACTCAAGGTCAATGAAACACAATGAGATTGACTTTATGAAAAAGTTAATTTCCTATCTCAAATCAGCAATAAATGAATCAGAGAAACTGGTGACAAATGTATTTGGTATATGATCTTCACAACAGTCCTGATCCTGGTAAAAGAGAATTTAGTTCTCAGGAACCATAGAGAGGGACAAAGTTCAAGTCAAAAGTAAGAGGTACAAAGCCAAGTCAAAAGAGATCAAGCTTAGAAAATAATGAAGGTCAAATGAGGATTACTCAATGAGTGGAGGAAATTTAAGTCCTTGCCACTTACTGTTGGACAAAATATCCTATTAGTGGAAGGTACAATGAAAAAAAAAAAAGCAGGAAACTTTATCTTTTATGTCAAAAAAGTTAAAAATATTTTCCTCTTTATTTTTCTTCCCATTCTTTTCTCCTCTTACCTTCCTTTCCCTTTTCTCTCTTGCCTATTTATATTTATCATTTTTTACCACACTGAATTTCCACAGCATCTGAGACTTAATCCAGCCACCCCTACCTCCTCCTACTGTCTTATTCCAATCTACAGTACAGAGATGTCTACGTGTGTTGTCTAAGACTTACTCTTTCTCATAACCTTGTGTATTGGTTATAGGGAGACAGGGTTATAGTTAAGGTTATAACAGGATGATAGGGAGACGGGGACTCTTAGGAAAAGTTCATTATTTTATCTTTCCCAATATTTTATAAATATCCATTCAACATTTATTCTGTAAAGATAAGGCCATGCATAAAAACTGTTTGCCACACTTTTCAGTCATTTATCTGCTTTCAAGTGTGTAGAATCAAAATTTTTTTCCCAACATGGTAAAGGATTGACTGTGGACATTTGCATTAAAACATCAACTGGGATTTAATTCTCAAAGGTCTTAGCATTCCTTAAGGAGAGGCTTCCCAGACACCTCTCTATCATTCCTAAGGATCTGCCCAGTGAAATCCATACAAGCACAGTGTCCAGGGCAGGTTATGGAACCCTTTGCCTACAACATGCGGGGTAACTGTATTTTAATGGATTGGGAAAATTTGCTAAAAGTAAGTTTTTATATGTTGGCATTTTCCCCTTATATTTAATTTCATTCTCTAAGTAGTTAAATCATTGTGTTTGAAATTATTTAATTATTTGAGTTAATGAATTATTTATTTTCCTCTTTTATAAGGAGTGGCTAAACCTAAGTGGCTAAACCTTGATACATATTTTATTGTGATTCTCAAATAACATACTAAATTAGTATAGAGATATACTAATATCATTAGTATACATTCACCATTGATAACTGAACTACTTCTAATCAGAAGTGAGTTTTTGAAAGATGCACTGTGAAGGGATCCCATGAAAACGTAAGATAAATTCAGATTGGTAATTTAGGAAACTGTGATGTGGATAGAAAAAGGAAATCAGAAGCAGGAAAGAGACAGAGAACATTTAGGTTTACTTTAAATAATCATATATAAAAGACATACTCCATTTAAAGGGAAAAGTGGCAGATTCCTAAATAACTTTATAAACTATTTGAAGTGTAAACTCCAATTGATAAAATCAGGAAACAGAAATAGCTGAGTTCTCAGCTACTATCCACACCAACTGCAAAAAAAAAAAAAAAGCATCTAAAAATTCCTTTACAAATGTTTTCTTCCTTCTCTATTCTCTCACCCTTCTCCTCCTCCCGCCACACACACACACACACACACACACACACACACAGAGTAAGTTATTTCATTTTATTTTAAATCTTTTTCTTTGAGGTAATGTATATATGTATATGTATATAAAAACATATTGTATGTCTTAGGGGTATGAATGAATACAGAATACCTCTCCACATGTATGTTACCATAACGTATCAGTCACCAGAGCACCCATAATCCACCATAATCTACTGGGCCCCCTCCTTGCTACTCACCATCCCCTTCAGGCAAAATACCTATTTTTTTTTCCTTTTTGTTGCTGATTTTAATTAAATTCACACAATATGCATCTGCACATGCATGTGTGTATGGTCAAATTTACATAGCACTGCTGATGCTGAAGTTATTAAACTTACCCATTCATCTATCTCTTAATTTTTTTACAAATATTATTTGATGCCATCTCCTGCCCCTTGCCAAAATTTGTATGTGTGTGTGTGTGTGTTTAAGTGTTGTGTGTTTAACCACTCTGCAGGACAGCCAGATGGCTTGTTCTTCTCTGGAAACATTTTCTGTTAATTCTGTTTTGTGCAAAGGCTCTGACTCAGACAGCATTTAGCAGTTGAATTTTGTTTTAAAGTACTGTTTACCCTTTGTAGCCAATGCAGCTTATTTTGCCCTTTGAGCACAGATGAATCACAAAGTTAGGAAAGGAAAGACTTTTGTTTACTCAGCAGCTCTAAAGGTTATCAATATCATTAAGGAAAATAAGAGATAAGAAACCTTTTGATTTATTGCACACAGGTCCCCTGTACAATGATAGGATTTATCTGCTTAAGAAAAAAGACTCAGATATTCTGCTGGAACAAGTACTCTGAGATGAAAATACCTATTGTGTTTTTTAATATGTTTTCCTACAAAAATACTCTCATTTACCTTAATAAACATAATCAGATGACGACAATAATAAAGCTCATTACTAACCATTAAATTAACAGCTTTGCTTTCTCATTAGGTGAAACACAATGTTTATTATGGTTTTGCTGATTCCTACTATACATCTCTCTTATCTCAACATTTACACTAAGAAAAAAAAATTTTAAAGAATACAACTGCAAATGAATACAGGGTAGGAAGCTCCTGTCCTTGCAAAGTGTAAATTATTAAATGCAATATATAATTTGCAACTAAGAAAATACATTTTTAACTAAAAAAATATGTCTGAGGATAAGATAAGCCAGTTGCTTTCAACTCAATGAAGGAACATTCCAGATTTGTAATTTCTCTATTAAAAATATCTTATCTTTTCCATTCCCTAACTTAAATGAAATAAAAGCAAGTGTCCAGTCAAATTACATTAGTAGAAATTATATAATAATAAAAAAAAAGATTTAATCACAATTAAAAGTAGTGTGTAACCCATGGGCAAAGATGTGAAATTCAAAACAGAAAAATTAATGGATGCTACTTACTCTCGCTTTATCTTAGTCATATTTAATTCTATCCATTTAATGCTTGAGTAGTGAGGGTGGTTAAGGAGATGGAGGAAGAGGAAAAAGAGAAAGAACAATATAAGAAATGAGAGGAAGAGCAAGAAAAGGAAAAGAAGGAGGCGGGGGAATAGAAGAGAAAGCAGAAGAGGAAAGAATCTATCTCTCAAATGTTTGGAGAGAATAAAATATCTTTCCCTTCTCTAAAAAAAACTCAACTAGTTATCTTCCTCATCTACTTGGTTATATTATTATGATAACAATGTACTACAATAAAAACCTGGCCCCGCATCTAGGTAAATGCATTGTATTCTCTTTTCTTTTGAAATATATTATCATGAGGTCGATAGCAGTAGTGTTGGGGGAGGGGGTGTATGAGAACTTTATAAAAACACATCTGGAAAATAGAGGTTCTTGGTTTCATTCCTATCTTGGATATTAATTAATTGTATGACTCTGGGTAAAGTTACCTATTTTACTCTCTCAGTCTTCTTATTCCTGAAATGACAATGTTGACCACCATCAGGTGTAAAAATAAATTCTTTTTTTCTTGAACTTCGTTTAAATAAATGAGGTAAGATCTGAGCATATGCCAATTATGCATTAATCTGCAATTTACAGAAAACATGATTAAAAGTGCTTTAAATAATAAATCATCTGACTTCACAAAAAATCTGAAAGTTTCAGTGGACATTAATTCTCTGCACAATGATGATAATGGCATAAAAATAAAAAAATGTATATGCTTTCCTTCTTTCTATGCTATCTTTAGCTTGCCAAGAAGTTCATCTCATGGTTCCAAGATGATGTGGCAGTTCTAGTTACCACATGTAGACATAATCATGTCCAAAAAGCTTAATAATCCACTATGAAACTTCATTTTATTTGATTTAGAAATATTTTCTAGAAGTTTCTCATCAGTGTACCCTCAGATCCATTGACCAGGATCTGGTCAGATGGCCACAATAAAATCATCATTAACATAAACAATGATTGAGAAATCGCCCCTAGTCTGAGAATATAGAGTTATTCTCAAAATTGAGAATGGGTCATCATGGAAAAATGAATTAAGTGGGGAAGGGCTTATAAAAAGTGTCTGTGACAAAATGTATCCTTATTAAAGATAGCAAGCAAGTATATGTAAGGGTAAATTTGGCAATACTGAATAAGATAATTACTAAGGAGCCTTCTTATTTACAGGATTTTGTTACTATGATTTAAACAAATGATTGAAAAATTAAAAATTCCAACATTTTGAAATTATTTAATAGAAGTTAATAATGAGATTTTTTTAATCAAAATATCTTGTTCATTTCTAAAATAAAAAAGAGTTACATAGAAAGCAATCACTTCTGGACACTAAACCTAAATAGTATTAAAGTCATTAAAAAAGAAATATTCTATTGAGTGGCAATGTTAATCTAATATAAAGATTCAGGAACATTCTGATCCTATATAAAGTCAAGGAGGGGAAAAAATTCTAGGCTCTGTCAAGAGGGATATATGGACAGATAAAGAACTCTCTTAGAGTTAATGAAGTCCTTCAAGAATCTCATTAACTTACAGATATCACAAGGATATGATCAGCAAATATTCAGTGCCAAATTTGATTCTCCTTTTATGTCTCTTGAGAATCCAAGTTTACTCTGGTTCTGTACTTTACTATACTGTAATATACTTTACCAATGGGAACAGAATAAAAAGTAGAACTAATTTGTCTCTCAAGTGGTTTTATCTTAAAAGGATAGCAAGAGGCAAGTAGAAATGTAGACAGAAGGGGAAAATCCCTTAAGTAACAGCCAAAAATGTATTCATTTTTATATTTCTTTAACCTATAAACAAATAATCATGAAGAAAACATGGTTCTGGTCCTATAATTGAATTCGAATGCTATGATTGAGATGATGTAGGCAAGATAATCTCAACTCTTTACCAGAATACTGAATGGCACATCCCAGATATGATTGTCTTCTTTCCATCCCTTGAAAATTAGGGCATACATTGACATGCTATATTAAAAAGAGAGAAAAAATAAATATAAATTAATTGCTATAATCTTGCTGTCAGAAAAATAACTCAAAAGATTGTTATTCCTCGATCTACTTTAGGTCTTTATGTTCTTAGAAAAACATTTTGTGTTTCTATTATTTTTTTCCATCTGTAAAAAAAAATAAAGATAATATTTGGAAAAAAAATCTGGTACAATAGAATGAGGGTTATCAAAGTCATGCTATAGAGAATTATAGCAAATTTCGTAGACATCTTATATGAATTGAGCACAAATCACTAGAAGAAACCTATCTCTTACCTTCTATGTCATCTTTTGCTTTGCAGAAAAGGCAGCGTTATAGCTATATTTGACCTATTCTTTGCCCAGTGGGTATCAGATGAAAATGTAAAAGAAGAACTGATACACGGCATTGAAGCAAATAAATCCAGTCAACTGGCCACTTTCCATATTGATTTGAACAGCGTTCATATCACAGGTATCTGTGAACATTTTTTGATTTCTTTGAATCATTAAGCTATGAAATTAAAATTCTAGCTGTATACCGAGAAAGAAGCAGAACTGCCCTTGACTTCAGGAAAAGGCCTTATTGCCTGAAGTAATACATTTACATGAGAAACCTGAAATGCAAGAGGAACTGTATTTGAAGGAAACTGTCAAAGAGAAAAAGTTCATAAAATATCACATATCCAAAAGATTCTGAAAATATTGGAACACATAAATGTTTTTGGGTCTCATCACATACTTAGCAGTCATCGAACATACTCTGGCCAGGAACCCTCCATTAGAAAATGACACTCATTACTTTCTAGAGACATTAAAACTAAGTCAAGTGATAAGTCCAGTTGTTACTTGAGAATTTAAAAGAAGGAGAGAAGTAACAAAGTCAATGAGTTTGGTCCACCCCAATTACTTATTTACAAATTTAAACTTTATTTTTAAAATGATAAGTAATTTTAAGATATGAACAAATTAAAGGCAGAGAGACACAGAACATCAAAAATTATAGTGGGTCAAGATGTCTATGAATGCTTTCATCATTCCAAATTTTCCATTCTAATTTTCCTCCATTCAGTTCAACTCAACATTGACAATTTGTGTTTGGTTTTCAATAATAATTTTCTAGTCCTGTCCAGGCCCACAATCCTTTATAGAGAAACCTTGGGGTCTTTTTGTGTTATTCCTTGCTTTGGATTTAGAAATATTTGAATATTAAAAAACTAATCAATATATAAATATGCACATCAAATGGAATGAAAGAAAACTAATGTTCACATAGTTTTGTTACATATACTTGCATTAAGTCTCCTACCTGCTCAGTGAGAAGAGAGCTAACATGTTTAGTGCCTCTTCTATCTATGGTTTGATCCCCTTCAGCACAGCTGCTAGAGCAAATACTGTTTCTAGTCTTTGATTGATTCACAAGACCTGAAAACTGCTACTGTTATTAGCTTTACCTAGCAACACATTTACTCACATAAATCCTATTACATAGGATTATATAGATATATAATATCTTCCTAACTCCACAGTACAGGTGAAAAGATCAATGCAAAGATAGTTTGGTAATCTGGGACTTGTTTATAATGGTTTAACCTTTGAGCCAGTATTTAAGGCATTTCAAAAAATGTTACCTGATGATTAATTTTAATAGTCACCTTTCTTCTTGAAAATTGTCCCCTTGCTATGTTTATTTGAATGTGCATCAGATTTTTGAAGATCTGCTGTGGTAGACATTTCAAAACTCATTTTCATGGCTTCCTACAGTTGGGCTATTAGGGAGAAAGGAGTTTGTAGTTTTAAGAAATACTAATTTATTCAATAAAACCACATAACAGAGTTAAATTAGAATAGTCATTATGAATGTGATAACTATATCAATCAAACCAAGAATATGCTCAAGTTCAAGGCACATTTTAACTTGTTGGACTTTGTTAAAACACATTCATAGACATGACATCAATCTATTTCAGTTTAATACTCTTTATTATCATGTAATTTTTCAAATTTATTATACTTTAATATTGATTTAAAATTTCATAAGTACTGCAGATTTTTATACAGTACTTACAAATCAAACTAAACAATAATTAAAGTATTATCTTTTTATTAAAAAGTATCACTGCTTTTTAATTCCCTTCACCAATTATCTACCACATAACTTTTAGAAACTTCCATACATCTGTTGCAGCAGCAAGATAATGAAGATTATTAAAGTAGAACAAACCTATTAGCTTAGGTCCTAGTAGATATTTATTATATATAAGATTATTTTGTTATTGATGATTTTAATATGTTTTGTCATAAAACAAATTTATACTCCAGGTAGGCTAAGATCTAGTTTCAATATAAATTATTATATAAAACTCTAATGAATAAGTAGCTTTCTGAATGGGAAAATAAAACAAACTTTTTGCAGAGGTAAGTTTCATAGAATAAATACATAGATTTTGGAAATTTAATAAAGGTATCACAATTAAATAATAGCATTCAACATGAGATAAGATAAAATGGAAACTCTATAGAATTAGACACCCTTTGAATGAATATTCAAACTATCATTAATGTCTTGTGATATGCTTAAAAGTCCAGTATTTAAATCATCTTCATTCCAGCATCTTTGAAGAATCTAATTACAGTAAGTTCTATAACAACTTCAGGTCAGTAGTTATGGCATTTCAAAAAAGGTAACTTGATGATTATCATACTCCATGATATTAAGAAAGCATTCATTTTTCTTGTAGCTCTTTCTGAGAATTTTATTTTTCACATTAAAATGTGAAAATGTGGTTTGGAAGAGCATAGCTCAAAATATTGCAGAGCTCATAATGCCTAACCAGGAATTATATATCAGGAATACACATATATCAGGAATACACATTTCTAATTTCAATGTTCCTTTCATATTTTAAGCTTGTTTCTATACATATATATACATATATGATGAATATGTGTGTGGCATCCCAAAATGTGGTTCTGCTCATGTGGGCTTGCAGATGAAGACTTGATATTTGTAAAGTTACTAGGAATGAGAAAAAGAAAGTTTAAATGATAAGCAAATGATGACTTTCAGGATGTATTGCATTGCATTCTTTAGAAAGAAGAACCAAGATTTAGTGATAGCTTTGTTTTATTCTGGCATATTCTTCATTCCATTTTTCTAACTACTGAACAGATGCCCACTACTGATCAGAAAATTTTAAACTTTACTTTGTATTATCAAAACCAATATAAAGGATAAAAATAAAAGAAAGAAAATAGTGTAATGTGTCACCACATAACAAATGCTTAGTGAACAAATACTCATTCTTTAAATGAATGTACTATGTTCTGGTTATGAACATAACTATTCTAAGGAATAGACAAAAAAGACCCGTGAATATGAATATGGAAGTGAAGCTAAAAGAGAACGGTGGAGAGTAGGGCAAAGTGGGGTGGGAGCTTAGTGACCTATAGTAAAGGATTATGGGTGCTTTGATGGTGGGTGAGGTATAACATGTGTCTAAAGAGATGTAAATTTATACCGCTAAATTGTATACAGTTTTGTACTCCAAAGTTACCACAATAAAAATAATTTAATAAATAAATAAAAATACAGCAATAATCTTAATATCACCTATTGTTATAAACTAGCAGTTCTCTGGCATCTCCAGGTCAATTTTAATATTATTTTTATCATGTTAAAATAGTTTTCACTTATATTTCATTTTAAGTTCCTGAGAAGTTTCTGATAACAGAGCAGTTAATATTACTCTATTTTATAGATAAGAAAACTGGAGTACAAAAGCTTACAGGTTTAGCCTAAAATTTTACAAAAAGTGAACCTTATTTTAGAAGCTAAGCTTGGGTTGCCTGACATCACTCCCCTCCTCTATTAGATAGTGATATTATCTATTGCTAAGAATGACACCATTAGGATCAACATGCTTTTTTAAAAGGAAAGTAGTTTTCATTCAATGTAAACAGTTTTTTCCTTTGTTTATTTTCCCCATACAAGTTAGACATGTTTGCTCTCTCTCTCTCAACATACCACTGGTTGCTAATCCAGTATCAAAGAAGCCTTGGAGTCATTCATTCAGCAATTTTTCACTAAGGTCTACTTTGTGCCTAATTCTGGTATATATAAAGAATATATATCATATATATTAAAGAAAGAATTCCTTGGATTTAAGATTTTCTCCCATATTATCCAGGAAACAAACCTGCTAAAATATAAATAGCTGAACCAGTTTCCTCTATTTGGAGGCCATGGTGAATGGTGAGACAGAGAGCATGGGGTAATACTCCCCCTATATTTTTCTCTCTTAGAAAGCAGAGAATAAATCTCTGTTCCTATGTGTGAACTACAGGAATAGGATCAGTACACGTTTGGTCCCATCTCTCACACTTTTATAAGCAATTACTTGACATGTGGTCTTTGGCCAGCTACCTATTTCTTTTGAACTTTATATTTATTATCTGAAGATAATAAGATAATGATTCAAATATGTATTTTAGAGCATGGTCATGAGGGTTAAAAAAGACCATTTGGATTCTACTGGATCATCTCATGTTATAATAGGCAGAAAGAGAGACACATAACAAGGCTACAGGTCTCTCCATTCTCCCTTCTGACTTAGAAGAAAGCAGTTGGATAGTTTTTAAAAACCTATCCAAAAGCTGAACTAAGCTTAAAACAAGGTAATTGTACTTGGTAATGTTCATTTTAATCTGATCATGAATTTGACCAAAAAAATCCATTTTAAAACTTTTCTGTTATTTGAGACTATTAAATTATTTGAATCAATTCCCAAAGAATTATTATAAGTAGGTGACAAAATAGCATATTCCTTCTTTTATTGGATCCAAGGACTATACCAGTCCCCAATCATCTTTCCCATTTATTCCTCTCAGACAGCAAGATACTATAGATTTACGAAGGAGAACAAGACAATTAAGCTTGAAAACCAGTTTCCAAGCAGTAATTTATTATGAATATGCCTTTCAGGGATGTTAAGTTTATTCTCATTTTTATATGCCTGGAAGACAGAGTTTGTGAAAAATCAACAAATGCATGCATCATATACCTGGCATTAGTGCTATTATAAATCCTGCCAAAGAGAATTTTTATATGATAGCAGGTACAAAGTCCATGAGGATTATGTTCTGTTGCTCAACTGCCTTTGTTGCCAATTACTGTAAAGTTTTACTAACCCATTTGGAACCTAGGAGGAGAGAGATGGGAACTCAGGTGCATTATACTGATTGATTTCTTAGGTGCTCGTGAGAGCCAAGAGGGGCTGTTCTGGGCATTGTTCATAGGCTTGAAGGGTTTCTAGAGTATAGCTTTTTCTAGTCCTTTGTTGCTTACTGTGTGAGCAATGATTGCAAAAAAACAAAGTTTCACTATCATGGGCTTACTAAATCTTGTACAAAACGCAATCTTGCTCCAATTCCACTATGTGGAAGGGCATGGGGGTGGAAGAAAAAGAATTAGCTGATTTAGCGAAGAACAAGAAATTGGGTCAAGAGCCGCTGAGATAGAATGATGCTCCTCAATTGAATTGTCCCAGGACTGAGACACAAGGACTTTATCTAACAGCAAGTATATTGTGACTGCAGGTACTTTTCTTTCTCTGCATTTGAAAGAACAACATATATAATGTGAAACACTCTCTTCTAATTTAAGACAGTCCTGCCACATGATATCAGAACTATTAAAGTATCTTTGCACTGTAATTTCATTTGGATTGATCAGCTACAGTCTTTCTAAAAAGATTGAATTTGTTCTATCAAAGTGAATGATTATTTCTGTAAAGTGATGTCTATTTTTCCAATGAAGTGTAGTAAAATGAATTTTGTTCTAAAGGCAGACATGCATGGATTTGCATTCTCCTGCCACTAATAAGTAAGCTTAATTTGTTTCAAATAGCTTTGGTCGCCAAACACCATCAGCCCATTTAAAAATAGGGAAAATAAAAAATCTTAGTTTTCCAAAATATCTTCAAACTATTATTTGTGTGCAACGGTTACTATAATTGGTTTAGAGCAAAAATAATAATAATAATAATAATGGATTAGTCTTTTTAGGCACAGGAGATTCTTTTATTTATTTTTGCATAGAATAAGTGGAGGATAAAAGGATTCACCAGAGACAGAGTGGGAAATAGAATAGGCCCGGGTCACTGGAAATACCTATGACTTCCGATTACTCTTAAGTCATTACATTAGAGTTTATACTGAGTCTTTCATGACACAAATATTAACTGATAATTATTAAATTCTCATTTGCACAGTTTCAAATAGTGATAATCTACTGGTGAGCTTTCATGAAATGCTAAAGAATAGAATCCTGAAGATAAAATGTCATCTAGATATAAAAATATGTGCATGTCTTTTTCCTATTCAGCTTCTAATAAACAGAATCAATTAATATTTTCTTGTGCACACTTCTTTAGGTGGAATTTCTTAATTCCCTTCTTAATAAATCCCTATTGGAAGTACAGTTTGATCCAGATATCTTAGAAAATGAGACTACAGGAACAACTATTTTTTTTTTTATTTTTTTTTAGACTTATTTATTTATTTATACAAGCACTGGGTACAGTCAGAAGTGCGGGAGGGTGAGAGAATTCACCAGAGCCAGAGCGGGGAGCAGAGCAGGCAGAAGGACCGAAGTACACTGCTGAGGGGAGCAGCGGGTGGCAGGAGAGGTCTGCGCGCCATGTGGGACCCTCCTCTGGTGGCCGGGGAGCAGCCGGGGATCGAACCGGCACCGCAGAGGCAGCGGGCAGCTTCGCAACCCAGCGCTCAACCTCTGAGCCACCGGGGAGGCCCAGGAACAACTATTGTTATTAAGAAATGAAATGAGAAACAATATTGTCCACAGTGAAAGAACTCTAGTTTTGGGAAAAGGTGGTCATATTAAAAAACTGGCATCTTACTAATTTCCACAACAGTTAATGTTTTGTCAATGAGTTTGTCAGAAATCATAATGTATATGTATATGTGAAGATGAGAGGAAAACAGAAGATTGGTGAAGATACAATCTGATAAAATCCTAAAATGTACTTCCTTTTTAAAAAACACACATGCACATGCATGCATGTACGTATGTGTGGGTGTTTGTGTGTATTTCCCATATTGGTTTCAATATGAGAAACTTCTTTTTTGTGGAGCAAGCAGAGGAATAGCCTAGAGAGACCTAGAATACAACCTATACAAGACTATCTCATATTTCACCATCAATTAAAAATACTTCAAAACAGTCATTTTCTAACTCCCCCAGTTATGTCCCTTATAATTATTGATGAGACTAACAACTATTTGCAACTGAGCTCGTCACTACAAAAGTATAGACATCATCCTTAATACCCTCTTTCCACAGCCCTTTGTTCAAGTCCATCTAGTCACTAAAACTTAACAATTCTATTTGTAAAATAGCAATTGAGTCCATGACTCATTTCCTCTGCTAGTGCAAGAGTTCTAGCCCTCATTAAGTTTCACCTTGACCACTGAAACAACCTCTCAGTTGGTCTCCTCTCTCTACATGGTTTCAGAATTGTCTTAATGAAACATAGAAAGGCCATATCATACATATATATATATAAAATTTCAAAGTCATTGCTTATAGAAAAACATTTCTAATATATTACAAAGTTTTTAAAAAACATCCCAGATTTGGCACCAAGTTGTCTCCTTCTTATAAATTCTGAAAACATTCTGCCATCTAGATGTTAGATTTACCTGTTTTCCATGCATCGATGTGCTCTTGTAATGTAATGTAAACATTCCATATTCCTCGTGCATTTCTCAACACACTTAAAACCTTATGTGAAGATGTAATCAAACTCTACTTCAGAAGGAAACCGATGGGCTAATGCTGGGTGTTCCCATAGCACATTTTATACCTCATTTTTAAAAATAGTTTGTTGGACCTCCACAAAATCCCAAACTCCACAAGAATAGAGCTACTTTCTTACTCATTCTTTTATCTCCATCACTTAATAATCCATGTCAGCAATATTAGACAATAAATATTTGTGGACTGATTGAATAATCAATGATGAAATCAAAGGATCCTAAGTGGTGTCATTTACAAGTGTGGTTTTGAGGGTCAACCTACAGAGCTCAAAATTGGCAATCAAGTGAGATGTGAACCATCTGGAGGTGATGTATCCTTAGAGAGCAGAACAGCCAAATTGTGCTTCTTAGCTCTATCCCCAAATCTATACTTTCAAATGCTTAATACTTAGAATTCTATTTACTTTTTTAAAAATAGACCTAGAGTTTCTATAGAATGCTTTTTTCTTGTTTTATTTATCAAGCTTTATGAAATACTACAGACATTATGTCTTTATGGATTAGGGACACAATAATTAAGTTTACTTTCTTGATGAATATTTCACATTCAGTAGTTATAGATAATTGTGGGTTTATTTAATACCATTTTTGCCAATATTTTAGTCTCTTATATGGTGGTGTCCTGTCGTTTGGAAATGTCTCTGATTTTTATTCTGCCTTATATTATATTTTAGGTGATCTATGAATTCTCCACGTGTTTTTATCCATATTAAGACTGATTACTAAAGTCTAAATTATTTTTATATATACCCAGAAATGCTGCACATACATGTTCCTAATTATTACCTCAGAAAATCTATTGACAAAAATAGTTTTATTTTTCCAATAATTTTATGAAGCAAAGGAAAAATTTCAGAATCAAATATATGTTTAAAACCCAGCAGATGGCAGTACAGTGCTGATTTTAAGATTAAGAATAATGAAGAATGCTATTGAGCTTAAAGATTTTTTTAATCCATCATTATTTTAATCACAGACCAAAATACTCACATTCTCACCTCACGGGAATATAAAAACATACATCTTTACCTAGTTGTCATGTAAGAATTTTATAATTGCACCTAAAATTTCCAAATTAATTTTTAAAAATAAAGTGTGTTTCTTGGGTATCTCTAAACCAGCTATGTGGAAGAGGAAGAGGTGTAGGACAGAACAATCTGGGTAATACCAATCAATCACATCCTTGACCAAATACAACAGAGAACATTTTAGAGGATGTTTACAGCTTTCTTGCGAATGACCTCTAACTAGAAGCAAAGACATAATGAATGGAATAAGATTTGGTTTTCCCTTGTGCTCAGTGTAGCAATGTGCTGGAATTACTTTATTTTGCTATAAAATAAAGTTAACTTTGTTAACAAGTTTTGCTGTGCAGAATGCAAATCTTTACTTTAGCCACTGTATTTTCAAAGAATAAATTTATAAGAAAATGAAGGGGTCATTAGATACTGCAGATGATGTAATAAAAATTCTAATTGCCTCACTTAACATGTTCAATAACCCTAGGAGGGATAAGTATTAGGGTGCAACTATTTAACATCTATAAAGAAATACTTTTTTCTAAAGTTTAGAATTCTAATGTTTTACAAATGCTCTATTCATTTCATGAAGTAAATATTTACTTCATGTACCTATTTAATTTTTTTATTTCAAATTAAAATATATCCTCATAAGGACCTAAATGACAAAAATACATAATAAATATCAAAATATTATATATTTCCCATTGATTGGAAATTAAATCTACCATGCAGGAAACTTAAAATATTGAGCCTGTATTTTTTTTTTTTAAGAAAATGTCTCAGTAGAATGTTCACCTCATTTAAGACTTTGTGCTGATGGGCTAACTTGTGTAAGACGCAATTTGTTCTGTGATGGAGAAGTCAACTGTCCTGATGGTTCAGACGAAGACAGTAAAGTATGTGGTAAGTAAGAACTCACTCATTTCCCGCCTTTAATTTTCATCCTCCCTTGTGATGTACACACACACACACACACACACACACCATGGGAGAATGACATATTTAATACAAGAGTCATGATTGCAATTTAATACAAACTTTCAAAAACAGTGGTATTTTCCAAAACTTTATTGAACATTATTACACATCAATTAGTTATGCAGAATTCCTTTTGATCACTACTGGTAACTGAAAGGATGCTGTGATAAACAATGTCAGTCATGAAAGGGGAAGAGTTGGGCATTACTTTTCTTCCTTACTACCGTGTTCCAATCTTTTGTCAATTTCAGTGCTTTTTTAGTTTTTTTTTTTTACCAATATGTCATCATATCAGTCCTTTTTGGGTACCCTAACAGCTTCTAACTCAATATTTAGCACTCCTTCATTTTGATTGTTCCTTATCTTCATCTTTTGGTATAAAAATAATAAATAGTAATTAGTGCACTTGAATTTTACTTCTCCATGATGAATTAATCCTTTATGTCTCATTTTTTCATTTAAAATTTGGGTTCTGGTTTGAGTGATGATGATGATGATTATATTATTATTTAATGCTTCTAAAGTACTTAGTGTATGCCAACCTGGCTCTGTGTGACTTCCACACATTTGCTCTTAACTTACTTCATTTTTTAGGTAGGTAACTTGACAGATTACATCACAAGTACATGACACATTACCACATACATGGAAATACAGATAGGTAAGCAACATGAGGAATTATTTAGCTGATTCTAATCTCTAGTTTGTTCTTCAAAAATTAAACAGAAAACGTGAATTGAATGATTTTTGATATGGTTTATAATCAATTTTAAAAATGACCTTGAGCACAACTAATTCCTAAAAGACTGTAGTTAGGCTTTACTCTACTTTGTTCTTCTAGTATTTATTACACTTTGCTCTTTTTGCCAGATAGTAACTAAAGATGAACTCTTCATAAAACTGAACTTTTAAAGATTACCTGTCCACTTGGTACATACAGTAAGAGACAGGCCTCAGGTGTGTTTCCCAGTAGCAACTCCCAAAAAGGCAACTTGATAAAGAGACTCTAACTAAGCAATCCCAAATCAAATGTTCTTGGATAAAATCCAAGCCTTCAGAGTTTAACTACATACTTTGAAGTGCACTCAGAGTATATTGGAAGAAAGTGCAGACTACAGAATATTTTTAATCTATTTTATATAACTATATTACTCAAAGAAGAAAGCAACATTCTTTTTGCTATGGTTTTCAGGCAGTTTCTAAAACGTTTTTAGGGAAAAATGATACAAGTGTGCCATCATGAGGTAATAAAGGTGATATTGATTTACAGTTCAAAAATAATAATGTACATCAAAGCTAGACACGTAGGTTAAGCCTACATAATCACCACAAAGAACTTTAAATGGGTGGAATAGATGAGATGAATTGAATATTCAGAAAAAGAACCACACCTGCTATTTGATCTTTACTGTATTGGTGTTCATAAATTTCATGATAAATTAATATCAGTGCATATCAAAAAATAACTATAGAAGTAGCAGGTGTGACAACTTGTTCAAAAATAAATGATAAGGCCATGAATTATTTTTTCTTAGTCACTATAATCTCATGACATGAACCTCAGTGTTAGAACTGAATTAATTCTCTAAAGTTGCCTTAAAGATATAATCAAACTACATTATTGCTTCTCTGTCTGACAGATGTTTTGTGTTAATTGAAACTTGGTGTATGGACTAGCCATCCATGACATTACCTTTCTTAAAACTTCATATATTCCTTTTCCATTTTTCTTGAATCTTTCATCATGTGTATTTTAAAGATAGCAGTGTGTCTACTTTGGAAAAAAATTAGTCTTTGTGGAAGGAAGAAGTGGATAGGTCAATCAATCAACCTGTATCCAAATAAGAGTCAGACATATCAGTTGTTTTACTGATCATTTAATCACTAATGATGATGAGCCCAAGAACCCAGCGCACTTCACTTCAGCAGCTTGAACTTCTAATAACATAATTTCCACATGAAAGCCCTTATCCATCAATCCACATTCACAGAAAATTAAGAGAATTCTCTCTACATGAAAATGACCTTTGCTCCCTCTTGCTTTTTGCTCCAGCTGTGAGCTCTAATTCTAGTTGGTGTTATTAATAGAGTCACATTAATGTTGACTTCCTCACACAGCTTCCTTTTTTAGTATTTAGTTATTTGGGTTTGCACAACTTATTGCTGACTATAGCTGAACCAAAATTTCTTTAAATTGTTTTTCTCTTCTGATTAGAATTGCATCAGCAGGAAAGTTCACTTTTTAGCTGACCTGAGACGGAAAGATGCTGACTCACAGTCTTTTGGCCAATGTTCAGGCCTGCTTGGAAGTTGGCAAGTGTCTCCATAGATGGTTTTGCATGTCCCTCTATAGGTGTACAAAAGACCTTGGTGGAGGGCATAGATCATGTTTGATTTATATATCTGGGGAATTCAATGCCCTTTGCAAACTCACAATCAGTAAACACTGAGCCAGCTGAGTGGACCCTAAGAACATGCCTTATGAATCCCATCCCATTACAGGTGGCATTTTCATAACTCCACAGAAAGGCTGATATTGTTTGACAGGCTCATCTATCTCTTTCCTACTTCAAATGTTTTTCTGAAGCGGCACTGGAAAGTCTAAAAAATTTTCAATCCGAAACCCAGTAATTCTACTCAGCCACAGTTGGGTTCTATTTTTTTATTTTTTTTTTTTTTGGTGGGACCCTCACTGGCGGCCAGGGAATGAACCGGTGCTGCAGAGGCTGAGGGCACCCTCACAGCCCAGTGCTCAACGGCTGCCCCACCAGAGGGTCCAGGTTCTATATTTTTCTCAACATTTAACCTGCTTCACTATCTTATATAAAATTAGGTTGTGCATAAAGATCCCACTATTAAATGAAAGAACAGGTGAGAAAGTTCCTAGCACAAGGCTAGATCTTGAAATGATAATATTTAGGCATTCTGAATTTTTCTAAGTAATTTCATAGTATGATGATTTTATTTTAAAATTCCTTTATGAATATATTCTTGATGTTTACTCGTATGCCGTAGTTCACCAATGAATTTTTACAGAACTTGATCTATAGATTATCCTTTGCCATGAAAAATCAACATCTTCATGGAAAACTGGAAAGGCTAATTGATCACGTTTCTTAGGACAGGCTAAATATCATAATAAAGAAACTTGCAATGTAAGTTAACAATAAATCACCTGTGTCCATCACCTGTGTCCAAAGAAGATGCCAAAGGATTATACTGTATGTAGTCATTTAGGATACCAGTTTTATCTCCACCATCCTCTCCTGCTCACAGTCCTGCGTGGATCCTTTGCAACCTGCTGACAGACAAGGGAAGAAAGTTATGGAAAATCTTTGTAGACATCACATCTGGAAACAAACACAGTCATTTCCACAATAATTTATTGATAAGACTCAGTCACATGGTCCCGTTTTGGGAAGTGCATTTTACTCACGTGCTTAGGAAGGGATTCAAAAACAATATAGCAAGCACAACCATGTCCATCACCAGTGACATAATTCAGCTTCTGGGGAATTTATAAATCCTGTTGTCAGCACAAAGTTGTCGATATTGTTCCCAAAACAGACACAATGAATGGATGAGAATAATTTCAAATGTGACCAGTTTTGCAAATAGGATTACAAATTCTTAAATCTGTTTTGTTCCCTATTTTACTGGATTTTTTTTCCTTCCTCCTATTTGCTGTGGAATGCTGTTGCAAACATGAACTATATTCTAATTTTAAGAATGCTAGAATCGCTTCTCAGCCTTTTGGCTAAGATCGAGTTAAGAATGCTAGAAATGATGGAATGCTTACTTTTAAATTTCTTGTTTCTTCTTTCATTTCCAATCCCTTCCTGCCTTCTGCTTTTCAGGTAAAAGAGTGGGTGATGTCATAATGATTCCTCTATATACTATAATATTAGGTATTATGGAACATCATGCTATAGAGAAATACTGACTGGTTTTGAATTACCACATAGAAACGGGGAGAATTTATGCTAGTTACTTAATCCTTCTGTATCTTAGTTTCCTCACCAAAAACTTTTTAGGGTCATTCTGAAGATCACACTAATATTTATATAATGGCCTTAGTACAATGATGGGTGCAGAAGTAAACAATTTATAAACATTATGTGACATTTTAGACAGTGACATTTTAGAACTAATTGGATTAATGATTCTACTTCATGAAATGTGAACTATTCACAACAGCAGTGAACTATCTTGTATTGCTGTGATCTTGGAGTCCATATGCTTTTTAATGAACTATATAATTGAAAGACTATATGTCACATAAAATATAAGCAGGTAATATGCTTGATTATATGATCACCGAAGCTATGGGTTTATTTGATCCATTTATATGTTATGATTGGTGATGAAAAGAGAGTTGAGGGTGAAGAAGGAAATTTTCTTTTCCATCTAGAAAATTATCTAGTGCTGCAGTAAAAAGTCACGTATTTTACTATTTATCTGGAAAGCATATAGATTGCCTTAATTGTCTTTGTGTATTCTGGTATGTTAAAGAGATTCAGTTCTCTTAACAAGTCCCAATTTTCTTTATTTCCTTTCCTGAGGTCTATGGTAGATTGCTCAGAGTTTAATCCTTTAACTTGTGTTTATATGTTGCTTTTTTTTTTTTAGTTTATTTTTCTGTTTCCTGCCGATAATCAGTCTATAAAATCATAATCCAATTTAATTCATTCCTAGGACACTGCTCTTTTTTATTCGACTGCATTATTTTTTGTTGAGGTGAAGTTGATTTAGGGGTAGAGATTCACAACTCTTTATTTTTTTTTTCTTTCTTTCTTTTTTTTTTTTTTTTTTTTTTTTTTTTGTGGGACCCTCGCCGCAGCCAGGGATTGAACTGATGCTGCAGAGGCTGCGGGCAGCCTTGCAGCCCAGCGCTCAACCACTGCACCACCAGGGGAGGTCCCAAAGATTCACAACTCTTTAGAAGTATGCTGCCACAATACACCAACCAGCAAATCACCCCATAATCTTCCACCATAGTCCATTGCTTCTCCTTCCCCTTAACTTTACCCCTCACTTCTCTGGTAACCTCAGTTTTGCAGTCAGATTTCTAGGGTTTATTTTGATTTAATTTTGTCAGGTACTTTGATTTGGTTCTTCATATTCCACGTATGAATGAAATCATCCAATATTTGTCTTTTTCTTTCTGATTTGTTTTACTGAGTATAATATACCCATATTATTCCAAATGATAAAGATTTCATTTTTTATGGCTAAATATCATTCCATTGTGTAAAAATACCACATCTTCTTAGCTTACTCATCTTTTCTTAGGCACTGACGTTATTCCCATAACTTGGCTATTGTAAATAGTTATGCAATGAACATAGGGGTACTTATAGAAATAAATTAGATGGATGGGTTCCCTACAGGTCACTAGCTCCAAGCATATCACTTGCCTGGCCATATTTTAATTGTTTTCAGGAAGACATAACACTTAGTACATGTATTTGAAATTCGCCCTAACTCCAATGTAATGGGGAAAATAAGACAAAAAAAAAAAATAACAGTTGCTTGTCTGATTTGGAAGTTTATAATTCAGATATACATATCTTCTTACAAATATGAAAGAATATACTAAAATACAATTTATGCATGGGTGTTTAATAAATGGCATTTAAAAATGTTTTTCTATAGAACTTGGTGTAAGAGTATTTGAAAGTAATTAATAGATTTTAAATATGAGATGTAATCTACTACCCACTGATCATTTCTATTTTGTAATTCTCTTCATACATGTCACACAGTGCTCTGTGAAGCCTTCCTTAGCCAATTGGAATCCCATTTTACTTGAGAAATCTTCCAAGATTATTTTTAATCTAACATTAACTTCCATTCTTTCACAGCAACAGTTTGTGATGGAAAATTTTTGTTGACTGGATCTTCTGGGTCCTTCCAGGCTACTCATCATCCAAAGCCTTCTGAATCAAGTGTTGTCTGTCAGTGGATTATACGGTAAAATGCCATCTAGTCTCTATTATTAAATTATATAATTTTTCTCTGATGCAGTAAGTCTTACCACCTGTAGCAGTATACTTATTTTTTATTATTGTTGTCATTTGCTATGAAATAAATTCTTTTCACTAATAAGCTGTCCAAGAAATTTCTCTTTCATGTTTAATGTTTTTAAAAAGGTGTTCCATTTATGAGCAATACTGTCTAATGAATGAATGGAGTCATCTCAGTAGGCTCTGGAGCAGGTGTTTTTTTTTTTTTTTTTTTTTTTTTTCTGTGATTGTCATAAAGCAATTGCTGCCAGGCGAAGAACACATATTCATGTCTGTGTATTTCAAAAATTGGTTTTCATACAACTGTATCCTGGCTACAGATTGGTGTCTTTCTTTTTATGCCAGCATCTGTATGATTATTTCCTTTGATATGATTTTAGTCATAGCATATTAAAAGAGAATATACTATGCATTCTTTTTCCTATAATTTGGATAACACTTGAATTAGTTTCTGTGTTTTTGACTCCAACTCTTAATTCAAAGATCAGTCCAAGCAAGAAAATTGAACACAAGACATAGAAATAAAAAATGAAGAAGTAAAATTAGATAATTTTACTTCACAAATGACAATATCTTACATGCAGAAAAACATAAAAATTCACAAAAGAAAAAACCTGATCAAATTAATTAAAAAAAAAAAACTTGTAGACTGAAAGTAAAATGGTGGCCACTGGCATCTGGGGTTGGGCGGACTGAGAAGTGCTGTTCAATGGGTAGAGAGTTTCAATCGTGCTGTTAGGGGGAAAGAATGTCCTGAGCAAACTCCATACAGGTGTTGTGGACTCCACCCCCACTCCATCAAGACGCTGGGAACTACAAATCTCATGATCACCAAAGGGAGGGTTGTGAGGACCTGGGGGGTGGAGTTAAGCAGCCATGTTTTTGTTTGGGCATTTAACCAGCCATGTGGCCAGGGGTCTCTCTCTTGGCCTGATGGCATGTGGCTTTTCATCAGTATGGTGGGTCATTGAGATTCCAGGTCAGTGGAATAGGTAGGATGCATTTAAAAATTTATCTCCCTCTTTTTTCTCTGAGTTATTAATTTCTCCATTTCCCTTTCCCTTGTAAATAAACCTTTTATTAACCTTTTATGTGTGCCTGCAGTTTAGCATTAATAAGTCCCCTTTAAGCGTGTGGGTGAGGACCCACAGTCAGGCAACCTGTTTCATATTGGGGTTGCCCTGTAACAATGCAAGTTGAACAAGTTCCAGAGCTCTGCTGTACACCACTAGGTCTATGGTTGACAATACTGCACTGTACTCCTGAAATGCACTAAGAGTGTCAAGCTATGTTATTAGTTTTTTATTTTTATTTTTTTTTTTTTTTTTTTTTTTTTTTATAGAGGCATGCTTTATTTATTTGTTTGCTGGTTTGTTTGTTTGTTTTGTTTATACAAGCACTGGGTACAGTCAGAAGCGCGGGAGGGTGAGAGAATTCACCAGAGCCAGAGCGGGGAGCAGAGCAGGCAGAAGGACCGAAGTACACTGCTGAGGGGAGCAGCGGGCGGCAGGAGAGGTCTGCGCGCCATGTGGGACCCTCCTCCGGTGGCCGGGGAGCAGCCGGGGATCGAACCGGCGCCGCAGAGGCCGCGCGCAGCTTCGCAACCCAGCGCTCAACCGCTGCGCCACCGGGGAGGCCCTGTTATTAGTTTTTTAAATCAAAATTAGCAAAAAAAGGAATTCATTAAAATTTGTGACCACTGTTAAAAAAATGTAATAACCTACTTTTTGCTTTTAATTTAGTGTAAACCAAGGACTTTCCATTAAACTGAGCTTTGATTCTTTTAATACATCTTCCTATGATGTATTAGATATTTATGAAGGTGTGGGCACAAACAAGGTTTTAAGAGGTAAGTTAAAAATAAATATACAAACCATTATCAAAAATGAAAATATATGGAAAACATTTTTGAGTGATATGTTTTCCCTTTGATTTTTAAACATATATGGACTTGAAAGATAAGTTACTGAAGGAAAGAAGTGTAACTGGTCATTACAAAAAATAATGATTTGGTTTTCTGCGTGATTAATCTTCTAATTAATGGTTCATTTTTCACATAATACCCTTTTGAATTGATGTCTTAATAATCATGTGGAAATTTCAAAAAAAAAAATAATTTTATCTTTGGTCACTATGCTTTGTGTTATTCTACATTAAGCAAAATTTAGACAAACCCTAAAAATTATTAATATATTTTTTTCTGATATCAAATGGGTTAAAAACTAAGAGAATATCTTCTCCTAATTTCAATATGCACTCTTCTCTTCAGTCTCTTACAAGATTATAACTTGTAAAGTGTTTAAATCAATGACTAGATCAGGATGTATACTCAGTAAACTGTAGATGCAGGTGGCATAGTCAGTACCTAACCATTTGTCATTTTGTACATGGTCGCAGATGGAAGTTGAGAACAGGGAATGCCCTAGTATTATTCATGCATCCACTCCACTTTATTCCATCTAATCCCAAAATGTGTGGATCTACTCATGGTAGCCCACAAAAATAGAAGTGAAATCACAAGAGGAATTATAATAAGGATGAAGAAGAAAATGTGGAAATGGAGTCCAGGAAATAACTAGTTTTCCTCCTGCTTGGGAGGAGTAGTCAAGTGTTAAGATGAGGTTGCAAGTAATACTTATTATTAAATGTTGTATAAAAGTAGCAATTAAGTAGTTTAATAATTTTGACTTTCAAATTGTGTTTGTGAGTAATGGAAGTGAATTGTATCTAACAAATCAATTTTTATAGATTTGAGAATGATTTCAATGTGACACTTCATAATAATACATACCTTTTGTTTGATGCCATTGATGTATCATCACTGTACTGAGTGATTTATGTGGATATTAATTAACATTTTCAAAATAAACTGCAAAGAAAAATAATGCTGAAGAACTGTAGACTCTACTTTTAAACACTGCCTTCCATAACCTTTCTGAATGTATAAAACACAGAGAAAATTGATAAAAAGAAATCCAATATAAAATTCTGTAGAAACAATTCTTAAGTCACCAATCTTATTTTGAGATCATACAGTTATTTGGGCAGAGAGCCAAATAAATACTCATTTCTATTATTGTCATTGATTTTAGTGCATTAGTTTGGCATGAGAATATCTAATTTTTAATTTTATAACTGCTTAACATGCATTGTGTAGAGGAATTTTGTCAGTAAAGGAGTGCATATTTTCTTTTTATCTGTGTATTTAGCTCAGTAGCTAACAATTAAAAATAAAAGATACGTGTTTTTTTAATCATAAATATATCTTATTGGATATTTATCATGCCTATGAGAAGTCATTTCAATTAAAGTAAATTAATCATAGCATCAATGATTTTAGTGTGCTGAGTAGTAGCAGATAGATTGATAGATAAATCAACAGATTTATAGATTGAAACATTAAAGTTTAAATAGATTGGTGGATAAATGTATGAATAAATAGATAAGTACATATGACAGACATTCGTTTTATTTTGCAGCTTCTCTTTTTCAAACTAGTCCTGGCACAATTCGAATTTTTTCCAACCAAGTTACTGCCACCTTTCTTATAATATCTGATAAAAATGATTATGTTGGGTTTATTGCAACATATACTGCATTTGACAGCAGAGAGATTAATAGTAAGTATTATTTATTCTTGAGCCTTTGAATCTTCAGATGCTTTAATATATTGTAATAGAATTTGAAAATTAGCATATTTTAGAACATGGTTGTAATATTTTAGTATATAAATTCCTTAATGCATATATCCCTTATATATATCTGTCTCTACTTGAAAGAAATGAGAAATTAGAAAATAGTTTTTATTCTTCAAAAGATGCAATTAATTTGAGAAAAATTATGTCAACATAAAAATTAAATTGTTTATATAATACAAGCATTCAAAATATAAAATGTATATATCATAAAACTAATTCTGAGAATGTTCTACATCAACTTAATTTTGACCAGAATATTAAACTGGAAGAGAAAATTGTGGAATAAAATTTATGTGATTAACCAATGAGGTAAGATGTAACAAAGAACAGGAAGACTTTGTCTTGATAAAGTCCTACTGGTGCTGGTGTATAAGAAACATATTAAGGACCTCCCTGGTGGCCTAGAGGTTAAGTCTCAGTGCTACCACCTGGAAGGCCTGAGTTCCATCCCCAGCAGGGAAGCTAACCCGCATGGAACAGCAGACCTCTCCTGCTTGTCTGCTGCTGCCCTCAGCAGTGTATTTCAGTAATAATTCTGCTTGTTGTACTCCCCATTCTGTCGCTAGTGAATCCTCTCACCCCCAACACCTCTGGCCTACACCCCAGTTCTTCTACATAAAAGTAAACAAAATCTTTTTTAAAAAACATTAAATTAACTCAGTGGGCAACAAAGTGCTTTTTTTTTTTTTAATTAAGTGGAATGAAACGGTTAAGATGAACAAAAAAAATCATTTCACACATGCTTCTTAATTATAAACTATGAAGGGCTAGATTATTTTCAATGCAATCTATCAACAACTAATCACATTGTGGACTAAATGTGAAGTGTTTTTTCTTGTAATTCACAGATTATGAGAAAATTAATTGTAATTTTGAAGATGGCTTTTGTTTTTGGATCCAGGATTTAAATGATGATAATGAATGGGAACGATTTCGGGGAAAAGCCCTTCCTCCTCTTAGTGGACCAGATTTTGACCACACTTTTGGGAATAGTTCAGGTATAATTCATAATTAATTCATAAAAAGTAATTGTTTTGTTCTGTAATTTAAAGTGAGCAGTATTAAATACAAGAGAGTCATTTCAAGATTTTTTTTAAATCGCGGACTGACAAATGCATTTAAAGAGAAAATGGTCATCTCTTAGGTAAGAAACATTTTATTTTACCTCATATATTACAAATGTTGAAGAATACACCAAGGCCATTAAAGACAAAGAGGCTTGTGTTGTCATTCCAGATTTGTATCTTATTATTAACTAAGTGTACTTGTGTGAGATAATTCACTTTTCTAAACTTTGGTCTACTTTGCTTGAATTTCATTTCTGATTGTTCATTGCTTATATATAGAAATACAAGTGATGCATTTTGGTTTTGTATCCTGAAAACTTGCTGAACTTGTTTATTAATGCTAAAAGTTTTTAAACAATTCTTTAGTATTTTTCAATACATATGATCCTGTCATCTTGAAGTAGAGATACAGAGACAAGTTTACTTCTGAGAAGCTGTCTTAGTCTGTTTGGGCTACTATAATTGAATACTGCAGACTGGGTGACTTAAACAAATATTTATTTCTCATAGCTCTGTACACAATAAGTCTATGATCTGTGGTGCCAGAAGTTTCTAATGAGAGCCTTCTTCCTGGTTTACAGACACATAGTCTTCTCACCATGTCCTCAATAGGAGGAAAGGAGAGAGATTCTGTTTTTTTCCTATGAAGTCACTAATTCTATCATGAGGGATCTCTCTAACCTTGTTAATCTAATTACCTACCAAAGGTGCCATCCCCAAATGCCATCACATTGGGGATTACAGTTTCAACATAAGAATTTTAAGAGGACACAACCATCCAGCTCACTAACAGAAAGACAATGGAAGAGCTAATACTAAAGCATGTCCTAAGGTTGTAAGATTTGTAAGACATTTTCATGTGAATGGAACTGAGAATTGAATTTCAGGTGGAAACATTAAATTGGTGATAATAGCATTTGACAAAGAATACCAGAAATCATGGGGAATTATCAAGAGACAACTCATAGTGTGAAGATTACCCATGAAAATCTGAAAATAAAATATGGTTCATCAAAGTATTTCAATTCGATCAAAATATTTACAATTGACTACTTTTAATGCTTTTCCACAAAAGTTCCATTCAAAAGTCAATTTATTCTTTGACTCCTTTATTCAAGAAGTGTTTTTTGAGCCCTAAGCCCTATTTAAGGCATTCAGAATATACTTGTGAACAAAATGATTCGAATTTCCTGTTCTCCTGGAATGCATATTCCAGTAAGGAAAATAAACAATATGAGTGAAAAATCATTGCAATTTGGGTGTATATTAAATGTGAATGAGCACTCAGGAAATATAAACCTTGATTAAGGTGAATGGGAAGTGCAGGTATGGAGGTGGCATTGTAAATTAAAATAGGATGATCACTTCTAATCTCATTGAAAAAGTGAAACTGAATCAAAACTTAAAGGAATTGAAGGAATTAGACATACAGATTATTTCAGACCAAAAGAAAATGTAGAGGAAAGTCTCTCAAGAGAGTGTGGCTCACCCATTTGAAGAAAAGTCAGGAAGTCACTGTGACTGGAGTAGAGAAAATAAGGCCATTAAGTTCCACAAAAGTATGGGTTTTCTAAGCCTTTGGCTTTTTTTTTTTCTCAGTGAATTGAGGTGCTATTGGTGATTCTTGAGGATAGCAATAATGCAATAGAATTTACATTGACTACTAGAGTGATGTGTGGAAGAACTAGTGACTAACACAGAGAAGTGGCCAGAAGCTACATACAATCTGAAAGTAAATTCAAAGAGGATCCTGCTAAATTGGTTATCAGTGTGGATCGACAAAAAAAAAAAAAAATTGTGCTCTGTGTAGACAGCCAATCCCATAAGACCACACATTCTTGGTATTGAAAATTACAACATTCATAGTCTCAAACATAATTAATCCTCCTTGAATAAATGATTTCTCAGATCTTGATCTTCTACAGATAAATAAGTAATCTGCGCAGCTGAAGACTAATCTCTAAGTGATAATTACCCCTACTTTCTAAAATAGCTTGTTCTAAAACAGTCAAATAATTTGACCACTCAATCCCCCTCACTGTAATAGAGGAAAAAAAGGTCTTTACCACACCTGGACAAGAGTAAAGCTAGAGAAAAGTGCAGAAAGCATTTATATCTATTGACGATGACAGATACCTTTTATGTAGTTGAAATCTTTGATGTTCAAATTATCATTTTTCTACTTTTATGTCATCATCACAAGAGATAGAATAATTCCACTGATATTTGAAGAATATAAGTACTACATTATAGGAGAAAAAAATGCTTCCTCTTGCCAACAGCTTAAACAACTAAAGAAATAAGATGAAACTGACCAAAGTGTAGCAGGTTGAATGTCAGGTGGAGGTTTTAAATAGTTGGGTTGGAAATGGAGTCCCTGGAGAAAGTTGTATAGCGGGAGTTATTTAAAATGATACGAATCAGAGCAGTTCAGAACCCAGCAGAGGCAGCAGGGTAATGAGAACGGATGATAAGGCTTAATAGGTCCTCTCCAACTCTCATACTGGTAATTTCATAATCTACCAGTCATCCCCTCTTAAGGGGCATTTTTCTTCCAACGTGCTTTTTCATGTGCCAGAACATCCTACCTCTGAAATGGAAGAGAATTGAATCCCTCCTGCTGTTCCTCTTATCTAAGCAGGTTTTTTTTGTTCTTCACCTTCACTTTAAATGACAGGAAAGTCTAAATGAATCAGATAAACTTTGAATTAACATTGCTTTAGGGATGAACATCTAAGCCCCTTAACTTTTTTGAGTTCTTCTGAAGAACTCTCTCCTGGTGGGGCACCAGATCTTAAATCTCTGCACCAGCAATGCTGGGAGTTTTTCTGTACCTGTTAGAAGCAAAGGGAACTGGTGGAGATATGGGCACTGATGTTGCTCTGGGATGGGAGCTCAGAAGTCCATTAGTTCAAAACATTCAGAGACTATATGAGGTAACATATGAAAACGCCAAAAATGTTGGGGTCATAAAAGGGTTTGACAGACCAGAGAAATTTCTTCTTTGTTGGACAATGAGAGCATAATGGTTTCTCATGTGTGGGGGTTAGCATAATGTAGTAGCAACGATGATTAATATAGAGACCCTGAAATCTTAGCTAGGTTTAAATCTCAGCTCTGCCATTAGGCAAGTTATCTATGCTCCTTCTGCCTCAGTTCCCTCATCTGGAAAGTGAGATGATAATGGGACCTGATTTTAGAGGCATATTAAGAACGTTAAATTGATTACTATATTTACCTGGCACATGAAAACTGCTGCAGAACTGTTATGTATTATAAGTACTTTATTTTCATGCCCCAAAAGTACTTAAAAGGGAAAAATCATCTGTGGCACTACTCTAAGTATTATGCTGGAGAAGAAAATAGTTATATTGCTCAATTTTCAAAAATATATTAAATTTTTTAGAGATCTGTCTGTCATTTAGCACATAAAATTTTTCTAAATTAAGCATAACTTCAGCACTTTCAAAAGAGAATTATTTTTCTTTCCTTATATTTCCTGTGATATATTTGAGAAAGAAATACTGATAGACTCTGTCTGAATCTGGGCCATTCTCCATTTGAAACTTTCAATATTTATCTAATTTCAGTTGATTTGGGCATGCATTTACATCTCACAAAATTGTTTATACCAGCCTATTTTCCTCTTGAGAGGAATCTCTAAATTTTCAGAAAGTTCTACTATCCATCCAGTTACTATTATCTCTGTATCACCATCAGCATATTTCCAGAATTTTCACTCAATGATTGGGGTTGTTAGTTGGGGAGGGGAAGGTTAAGTTAGATTTATGGAGAAATATGAAGGAAAAAGGATAGAAGAAAGTTCTAAGAAAAACCTAATGGCTCACGAAAGAGATTCACTATGTATTTAAATTAACAAAATGTATTCATTTTTCTAGGTTATAAGCAGATTCTGAGGTCAATTTCAAAAGCTCTTAAAGACATTTCAGTTGGAGGATTTAAAAAATTATCATTTGACCATAGAAATTCCCATGTAGTTGTGGAAAATATCTATTCAATCATTCCTTTTTTTGTATAATACTTCAATAAGTTTAAAAATGAAAAAGCAAATCCACTTAGTGTAACAAGAATTAAGCAACATTCAGCTAATCTTAGAGAATTCAAAAATGAATCAAGTCTTTTAGTTTCTCCCAAACTATAGCAAGCTTAAAAAGTTATAGAATTACATAAATAACAACAGAAAATACTAAGTTAAATCAGAGCAGTACATGTGCAACCGAGAATTCAAAAGAAGCGGCTGCATCTAATTGGGAGGAACAAGAGAGTCCTTCTGAAGAGGATGGCAATTTGATTAAAATGACATTAAAAATTGCTAGAGGACTTTTACAGGTACAATTGTAAGAGTGAGTGGAAGGATAGGAAAACAGAAAAAAAAATCCCTGAAGTCATAAAATATCTAGCCACTGGAAAATTAAAATAATTTTGTAGCGGGGGCCTCCCCTGGTTGCACAGGTGGTTGAAATGCCACATTGTGAAGCTGTCCACAGCCTCTGCAGTGCCGGTTTGATCCTGGCCAGCAGGTGAGGGTCCCAACTGGCTCAGGAGACCTCTCCTATCTCACCTGCTGCTCCCCTCAGCTGTGTATTTCAGTCAGTCTGCCTGTTCTGCTCCTCACTCTGTCTCTGGTGAATCCTCTCACCCTCCTGCTCATCTGGCCTGTACCCTGGTTCTTTCATAAAAATAAATAAATAAAATCTTAAAAAAAAAATTTGTGAGGGCCTCCCTGGTGGCTGTTGAGTGCAGTGCTGTGAAGCTGTCTGCTGCCTCTGCAGTGTGGGTTTGATCCCGGCTGGCTGCGGAGATACCTACATGATGTGGCAGACCTCTCCTGTCTCGCCCACTGCTCCCCTCAGCAGTGTATTTCAGTCAGTCTGCCTGTTCTGTTCTCCACTCTGTCTCTGGTGAATCCTCTCATCCTCCTGCACATCTGGCCTGTACACACTCTGTTGTAAAGCAATGTTGCTTCAATAAAATAACACTAAAAAATTTAAAAAACAGTTAATAATAAAAAATGTGACCCAGGGCCTCCCTGGTGGTGCAGCGGTTGAACGCTGGGTTGCGAAGCTGCCCGTGGCCTCTGCAGCGCCGGTTCGATCCCCGGCTGCCACATAATTGGGTTTTATCTGGACAATGATACAAAACTCATAGCATTATATATCATGATTGGACTAAAGGCTCAAATATATCACTGCTTAGTACGTAAACAACAGATTCAAAACTTTTCAAATTTTAGCTAATCAACAATTAACATATTCAAAGATAAACAGGAGTACAATATACATTTGTGTTACATAATTGCAGCTAACTAGAAATGTTTCAGCAATAGACTAGCCATTTCCATATTTCATAGCTTTCATGATTTAATTATTACCTTCCTAATTACATTCCAAACTACTAAAATATAAGATCAACTCAAAAGAGACTTTAAGTTAGGAATTCAGAGAGTAGATTTTGGAAGATTTCATCTGTATCTTTGCTCTTCTTCTATTAGGTTTAATAATTAAGCACTAATTATATATCCAAAATAAGTACTAACAAAAAAATCACAGCACTCCATCAAGTATAAGTAATGTATTCATAACATTAAATGCTGAACATGCATTCATTTCTGTTTCAAATTGTGCTATCTAAATCCAGTGAATTTTTATATATTACATTTATTAAGTCAATTGACCATGATTTAACCTTGATAAAATATTAATTTATTCTGAATAGCTTTTGTCTCACTGATCTAAATACACATCGATCTATTGGTAGTTCTGCTAATGTTTTTCTTCTTTTCTTCATGTCTTATTCTTACTCTACATGTTAGTTTTGTTTTATGATTCCTGTTTTTTGTCATAAAATGAACTGCAAATTAAGAATAAAAAAATTAAATTCCCCTTCAAAAATATTTAAGATGCTCTCACCCCAACAACTCTTCCCATACTTCAAATTACTCAAATCATTGGTTGGAATAATGAATTCCAGGCCAGAAAGTACGTTATGCAGTGACTTGAGCTATGTAGAAAGTCTTTATGAGGATTAACATGTTTAGTGCTCTTCTGTGATCTGATTTGTTCTCTTTCAAAGGATATGGAAAATGAAACCATTAAAATCAGCTAACTTTAAATTTAGAATCATGCAGACTGGTCAATGGAATACAAAATAGGTGGCCATTGAAACTCTGTCTACAAATTTGTTTTAAATATTTGCCTAGCTCATGAGTTAGTCCACCAGTACATCTAAATACCCTCATTTGTGGACTGTCCTTCAAGAAGTGAATGAAAGCATTTAACAAATTTGGATTAAAACAGGATTTGCACATGATAATATGATTAAACAATCCCAGGCATCAAAACAAGTCACAGTTTGAGGGCTCCTTGGTGGCGCAAGGAGTTAAGTGCTGCACTATGAAGCAATCCGCAGCCTCTGCAGCATGAGTTCAATCCCTGGCCGGCCAGGGAGAAACACACATGGTGCAGCAGACCTCTCCTATCTCGCCAGCTGCTCCCCACAGCAGTGTGTTTCAGTCAGTCTGCCTGTTCTGTTCCCTAGTCTGTCTCTGGTGAATCCTCTCATTCCCGCCCATCTCTGGCCTGCACCCCAGCTCTTGTATGCATGAATAAATAAATCTTAAAAAAAAAGTCAGAGTTTGAGATATTCTTAGCAGGGCTTCAATTCAGAGCTTGTTTTACAAATCAGAGACTTAGAATTGAGAGGTGATCTTTGTAAATAACTATTTGTTGTGAGAAATTCATTTGAAAGCTGTATTTTTCACCTTAAAAGTTTTCCTTTCTGCTTTTGAGTGATGTATTTTACACAATGAAAATACTGATTTTTAAGCAAAATGAATTTTTTTTCATTGTTTTCACAGGATATTATATTTCCACCCCATTTGGACCAGGGAGAAAAGAAAGAGTCAGCCTTTTAAGTCTTCCTTTAACCAGTTTGGAACCAGTGTGCCTTAGTTTCTGGTATGTTGTACACAAGTTACACACTATCTTATTTAATGAGTAACATTTGCTAGTCTCCATTCTCACTAAGATGTCCTAAGTTTTCATACATTGTCTTTATTTTCCCACAAGTAATAAAGTATCAAGATGTTGAAAGGCTCACTCCCCTTCTCTAACAATTCATTTATCCAAGGGAAAAGAGAACTATAAAAGTTTTAGAAAAACCCTAAAATGTATTTATTCTAATATAGGGATCCAATGATTTTTACTTATTTCCAAATAGGTATTATATGTGTGGTGAAAATGTCTATAAATTAAGTGTTAATATCAGCAATGGCCAAAACATGGAGAAGACAATTTTCCAAAAGGAAGGAAATTATGGACAAAATTGGAATTATGGACAAGTAACATTAAATGAAACGATGGAATTTAAGGTAAGCAAATAATTTCTGATGTATGATCATGTAGTTGTATTCTAAAAATGGTGATACAATTATAGCTTATAATATACGAGGAAAAATAAATTTTCTGAAGTGGCCTGGCCACCTTCTCTACTTTCCTTATCTTCCTTTAAAACCTGTGTTTATTTCCATTCATTTTTTTTTAGATTTATTTATTTATGCATACAAGAACTGGGGTACAGGCCAGAGGTGTTGGGTGGGTTTGTGAGAGGATTCACCAGAGACAGAGTGGGGAACAGAACAAGCAGATCTACTGAAATACACTGCTGAGGGGAGCAGCAGGTGAGACAGGAGAGGTCTGCTGCACCATGTGGGTAGCTCCCTGGCCAGCCAGGGATCAACCTTGTGCTGCAGAGTCTGTGGATCTTTTCATAGGTTGCATCTTAACCCCTTGCACCACCAGGGAAGCCCCTATTTTCACTTATTTAATGACTTATGTAAAACCACTTACTGATAAATGATTTACTGCAGTAAATTACTACTGATAGTGAGTGATATAATCCATAAAGACCTTGTGGGATATTTCAGCATTTTTAAAGTAACTTTCTAGTAGGAACCATATCTTCCTACATCCCCTACATACCTGGGACTTCCAACTTTTCACAAACATATTACATCAGTCTTGCACTTTTCTAGGGAATCATCCTTTTTGTCTTTTAGAACATCCCCATCCAGGGGTATCCACTCACCCTTCCCCACTTTGACTTAATCTCTATACATTTCCTCTAGAAACAAATTCTATGAGCTGTATCATTGGGAATTCTCTGGCCATTTATTTTGCATTAGGGTGAATTAATTTTTCAGCTTAATGTGTTCTCTTCCTCAGGGTGTTTGCAATTAAAATATAGGATAATATAGGCTAATAGTTTGACCAAATTAACAATGTTTTAATTGGGTACTTTCAGACAAAAGAGTATAACTTCCAGAAGATGTATGTTTGGACAAAACCGTCACCGGTAAAGACTTCAGTTCTTTCCCGTGACTTGGTAAAAAGCAGGCCATAACCAACAGCCCTCACCTGTATTCTGATCTTTCTTTCTTTCCTTTCCACTTCATTTGTTCTTACTCTATCTTTTTCTGTGAAGTTTTTTCTTCTCCACCTTTGTGTTCTAACAATGGTGCAACATCAAAGGGACATAGAAACGGCAGAAGTGTAGAAAAGAGTATTGCAGTGGCCAATTATGGATCAACCATTTTTTTCAAAAAGTCATAAAACTGCATCCATCTTATCAATGTCAGCTCATTAGGTAAAGTAAGAACATTGAGTTCTACAGACATTTTCATGTTGACTAGCTAGTTTGTTGTGAAATCCTGAACAAATCACATTAGTCTCTGAAATTCTGCTTGTATATATGTGAAGGGGAGAAAACAACCCTTTGTAATGGTGTCTAGAACGATGTGGGTATATTGGATGAACATCTGAATGTATAGATGGATGATTGTGCAATAGTGTGAAAAAATTAATGAAATAATGTACACTACTTGCCTAACATAGCAATTAGCATATTGCAGGTTTATGTCTTTCTCCTGCTGCACAAGAGAAGATCCACAGAAGTCTAGCGAATAATATCTAATGTCCCTAAGAACCTACCATTTTCCTCTAACCCCTGGGTCTTTCTCTGACTCTGAATAACCCAAAGTATGTTCATATTTTCTCTTGTCCTTTTTTATGCCATTTAAATTACCTAATAACTATGTTTTCTTTTCAGGGCTGTGTTCTCTAAGAAAGCCAGATAGCTATCAGGATTTCATAAAATATGGGAAGTGGGCTCAGCAGGACTTTTAAAAACACAATCCAGGGCCTCACAATGCCTTGCTCCACATCAGGGGATAAAAATAAAAACATGATCCATCAGCCATTCGCTATGCAGTAACTTATTTTCTGCATTTGGAAACGGCATTTGGAAACGGCAGTATTGGTTTTCTAGGGAATACTAGACCATAAGAAGAAGCAAGTCAGATACTAAATGGAATCACTTTATATTCCTCTCTGAATTACAGGTTGCTTTTAATGCTTATAAAAATGAATTATGGAGGGACATAGGACTGGATGACATTAGCTTAACACGTGGGATTTGCAATGAAAATCTGTATCCAGAACCAACTTTGGTTCCAACTACTCCACCAGAACTTCCTAGTAAGTATTTTTAATATGCATTTGCCCTAAAAAGTCATTAATATTATCTTTTATTATCTCAGTTTAATATTATTTGTAGAAAATCAAAGATTTTAAAATATAAGTAAAATGGAAGCTAACAGAATAGTTTACATTTTACATAAAACCACAATGAAATCACTCAGTATTTTGTTATGCATCATATTTATGATAATTTTAATACATTTTCATTTTGAAAATGATGAAGGTGGTGTTTTTCATATTGTTTTTTCTGGAATAGAAACTAATGCTGCATTGGCCATGTGGTATGAGCTGTAACCATTTAGGAAAAGCTATGATTCTCACAGTGATGTAAAATAATTTTTTCTTTTTTTTAATAAAGATTTATTTATTTATTTTATACAAGAACTGGGGTACAGGTCAGAAGCACGGGAGAGTAAGAGAATTCTCCAGAGCCAGAGTGGGGAGCAGAACAGGCAGATGGAGAGAAGACACTGCTGAGGGGAGCAGTGGGTGAGGCAGGAGAGGTCTGCTGCACCATGTGGGGTTCTCCCCGGCCAGCTGGCCGGCAGGGAATTGAACTGGCGCAGCAGAGGCTGCGGACAGCTTCGCAGCGCAGCACTTAACCATTGCACCACCAGGGAGGCCCAGTGATGTAAAATAATTGATGAAAAAATCTCAGGAGTTTGGTTAAATTTCAAACACATCAAGAATATTTCCAGAATAATTCAATGATAATGATTGGGCCTAGCCCAATATACAAAGACATAGATATACAGAGACATAGATATATACAAAGACATAGATACAAAGACATAGATCAGACAAAAGATGTTTTTCCTGCCATGGTGCCTTTGTAAAGCCGGCGATGGGCTCCCAAATGGAGACACTTATATACTGCAGTTTAGCAGTTACCAGGATTTCTGGTGCCTTTGGAATCTTTAGCTCAAAAGAACAAAATGGCGTCTACCCGTGCTCTTAATTCGAATTGGAAACTCAACATTTCAGAGGCAGAAGCGACATTACCATCTATCTCATCATGTCAAGGGAGACAATCATTTCATACTGCTTGCAGACTGTGGGGCTGTACAGTCCCATTATGTATTATACATATTATATTCCCAACACATATATCTGTATGTATGTGTGTGTGTGTGTATGTGTGTATAAATGATAAATTAGATCAAGCCTGTGTCGTCCCTCCTTTGCAGTTTTGATGCAAGAACATCCTATTTGTGTCTGAATTGTGGTCAGGAGCTGATCTGGCTCTACACCATTGCTTGTGTTGAAACTCATGGAAGTTTACGTTCTGTTGTAGATCTGAACCCACGAACACAACACTTTTTCCAATTCAATTCCTTTCATTCAGACTTGAAACTCTTCCTATAGTCACAGCAGCAAATCATTTTGGTGAATCTACCCAAAGGTGGCTTCACTTCCCAAACTATGTTTTCCCATTTTCGATCTTTGAGTCACAAAAAAACAAAACAAAAAACATGTCAGTGAGTGGCTTTAATAACTCAAAAGCTCTAAAGATAAATGACTACTGTTTGAGATCATATAACAAATGAGCTGCCATGAAGATGAAGATAGTAATTACATTATCATACCAGTTCTTTGTCAACAGATTGAATGTGTCTTTGTCAACAGACCTTATGTTCCACCAAAAGGTCATTTTACACTAAGCATCTTTTGTATTAACCTGTTTAGATGCTTCTATATGTTACATATAAATTCCTCAGTATTTCAAACAATTATTCAAATTGTGTGTTTACTCTGTACAAAGTACTGCTTAACAAATGCAAATGTAGCAATAACCATTGAAACAAAAAAAAATCCTTAAAAAAGTCAATATAAAAAATATTTAAAAAGACGTAATTATGGGCCTCCCTGGTGGCAGAGGTGGTTGAGCACAGCACTGTGAAGCTGTCTGCAGCCTCTGCAGTGCAGGTTCAATCCCAGTTGGCCAGTGAGAATCTCACATGGCAAAGCAGACCTCTCTCGCCCACTGCTCCCCTCAGCAGTGTATTTTAGTCAGTCTGCCTGTTCTGTTCCCCACTCTGTTTCTGGTGAATCCTCTCACCTTCCCACACATCTGGCCTGTACCCCGGCTCTTGTACAAATAAAATTAAAATAAATTAAAAAATTAAAAATTAAAAAATAATAATTAAAAAAAGACATAATTATGTGCCCTGGTAGTAGTAAATAAGAAAAGTGACAGAAACTTTGAAAAAGAGAGTAAACCAGAGAAAGATTTAAAAAGCGTTAAAATTAAGAGACAGAATAACATTCATAAATCTGCAACAGAAGCAGAAAAATTAGGGCAAGTAGTGAGTTATTAGACACTAAACTTGCTTCTCCAGGGTATGACTGGTTTTTAATGTCATGCAAATAGATGATCAATAAATATTATTAGATATGAAGTCAGTCTCTTTTTATTTTGGCTGTATTTCTCTTTTGTTAATGCAAACATTTTACCAAACAAAATTTTGACACCAGAACTAAAATTTATATATAGTGGTGGGGATGGGATGAAGAAAATAGTACACGAATGCAATAATTTGGGTTTTGTGGCATTATCTAAAAATAATTGTCTCACTTTATCCTGGTAGGTGTGTCATACTCTGCTTATCTAATATATAACACAGGTTCATGCACAAAGTATTTGTAATCATTATAATCTCTATTGATTTGATAAATAATTTCTATAGGTACCAAATATTAGTAACATTTTACCATTTTGACATTGCAAACATCTGAAACAATACATTGTTTTCATCATCCTTTGCCAGTGCACTCTTTTAGTCATCAATAGGTGGTGAAGAAAAAAACATTTTAGCTGAAAGTCGCACAGCTTCAATATTTTAACCTCAGTATTATCTAAAATAGAAAATTTGAGATAGCTTTTGAAAACATCATACATATAAAATTCTAAATGTGATCTGCCATATTAAAACTTTATGTAGATAACCCATACAGTGCTCATATCTATTTCAACCAGAAAGAGAAAAAAATAATATCTCAATAACAGGAAAGCATGATATCCTTGCATATTTTAACAATAAGGAAATTATAATGATAAATTAACCATCTGATTTTAAAATGTAAACTTTAGACTTTTCCCAGAGATATTTGTTTCCAAGTTTCCAAGTGGAACAATATTTAGCACAGCAGAAAATGTTAATTACCTTCAAATGCATTCTGAACAATTTCATCTAATGCCATTTGTAACTGGTTCAGTGAAATTCTCATTTGAACAGAGCTTTTCTGGTTCCAGATCACTGATTTGTTTAAGCAAAAATAAAAGGCTGACTGGCTAATAGCCTTTTTTTTTTCTTCAGCTTTTTAGAGCATTTGAAGAAGAAAATAATCCTACCTAGGTAACTGGGTAGCAAGGATCAGTTTTCTCCCTTCCTCCTAGAGGTCAACATTATGACTAGCTTGGGGAAATGTGCATTTTCCTAATGGCAGACATTCTTCCACCTTGTATCTTCAGTCATGTGTTACCCCCTCAGATTGTTGCCCTGTGACATTGGCACAGATAATTTAAATGTGGGGATTGAATTGAGAACCTTTTAAAAAGTAAACTTTCCATTATACAAATACACTAATTTGCAAAACAATTTGGATGATTTGCGACAAGATTATCTACTGAATAGTATAGGTATATGCAAAAAGAAATCCATATTTTTGGTCTGTGACCTATTTCTGGGACCATTAAAATTAATTATGAGGAAAATAGATGGAGAGTTATAGCTATTTTATTAGTCACTATTGCCACAGTTTTGCTCTACTTAGTCATTATTTAGGTCATTTTCCATTTTAAAACAACAAAATAAAAGTTAATTTGGTAAGTTTCATAGACATAACGTTATACTTAGAGCTAAAAATCTAACTTCTATTCTTCATGTGGAAATGAACTATATCTCTCTACCTCTTTTGTAATTGATGGCCATATTCAAGCAGATCAGCTTGCTTTTTATATCTTTATTATAATTAATATTCAGACTCTAGCAAGTTTCATAGTAACTGCATTTACATTCTCCTGTATCAATGGGGTTTTTGGCTATTCTATCTTGTTTTTATCTTTTTACCTATCTACCTATTTGTTAGAGCTACCTTTGACTTTATCATTACATAAAAATAAAATTTAAGCCACAGGAGAATAAAAATGTGAATGACATTGCCATAAATGTAATAAAAAATACTTATATTATGGCTGGTCCCTAGAATCTATTAATGAAAATAGAATTTTTGATAAGTTAGATAGAAAAATTTTACTTTACACTATAATATGAAGTTTTAAAATGTTATATGTAGTACTGTAGAATTTGCTTTCATTTTACAAGACAATGAAAAATAATTACTGATTTATAAAAGGAGCCACTTAAATTATATTCAAACATGAATATGAGATATCATTTCTCAAGCTACATTCATTCTTTCCTTAAGTTAAGAAAACCAATGAAAATCCTAATTTTAACTGTATCCTTCTTTACCATATATAGGGGTGTGTGTGTGTGTGTGTGTGTGTGTGTGTGTGTATGTGTGTGTGTTTAATTTAAACACTTGCTGTAAGTGAAAGCTGGTCTCTTCTTTACTCCACAATAAATGCTTCCATATATCTCATGGATGTCAAAAGTTTAAACACAGATTAAAAATGATAGGGCTCAAGAAAAAACATAACAATTGCTTTGCAAAATACTGCATGTTATTTCCATAGTGTACTAATAAAAATATCAATTGGCACAGTAAGCTATCAACCATAGTACAAATCTTTGAAAGAACGTCTCAAAGAAAAAGAAAATGAAAGATTGAATAGCTGTTAGTGGATGGACTTCCCCATCCAGTCAAGCTATTGGATTCTTGCTCTCTGAGTGAGGGTGGTTTTTCTACAACAGAGCATGACAGTGAAATCCAGAATTACCTTTCATGAGTCTTTGGTTCCTCTCATAAGAAGCACATCTACCTCTCCAATACAGAAATAAACTAAATAAAGTAAAATAAAAACAACAAATGGCTCGATTTTGAATGATTAACTCTTCATATAAAGGAGTGGCAGATATAGGACATGTTCTACTATAAAGACTCATTTTTTTCTGCAACAGGAGTTGATACCTTTATCTCATGAAGTCCATTTATAAAAGATATCCAGCAATGTTTCCTTTCTCAAGAAAGTTCGGGAAGTGCTGCAAACTATTATAGCCTCTTGGAGACTCTTAAAGAATATTAGGTTATTTAAGGTTCTGAGTTCTTCAGAAAAGAGACCTGTTTATGTTTTCCATACTTAAATTGCCCAGTATTCCCTTATAAAACCTCTAAAATCTATCTGTAAAAACTGTTACTCTAAGAAATGTGTCTGGAAATTTTCTGGCATATAGTATCATCTCTCTGATATAAACATTAACTTACTAATGATATTTTAATTGCTTTCCTTTCCAGCAAACTGTGGAGGGCCTTTTGAACTGTGGGAACCAAATTCAACATTCACATCTATGAACTTTCCTAACAGCTACCCAAATAAGGCTTTCTGTGAGTCATTTCCTTTTTTCCAGTCATGAGGATGAGAAACAAATATATATATCTCAAGACTAGATACCCTCTTGAAATAACAAAGTAAATTTGTCAAACTTGGGTATAGTAAATTTGTCAAACTTGGGTATACTACCACATCTATGAGAGTGCTAATTTTAATGAAAACAACAGAAATAACAATTATAATGACTAACTTTTTTTAGCATTTATTTCATGCAAGACATTGTGCTAGGACTTAATTTACACTATTTCAGCCAAGTCTCACAATATTTCTTTGAAGCAGATGCTGGAATTATAAGTCTGAAATTAAAAATAAATTGAATGAAACCCATAAGTGAATGAATTAGCCTTACTCCAGATACTACTTTTAATTACTTTCTTTGATAACACAAAGAATACCGGTAATGTATATAACAAGTTTGGAATTCCATAGACTAAAGTACAAAATATAAAAAGCAAGGAACCAATTGTGACATCTATACGTGTAGTAAATATAGACTAGAGTCAGTAAAGCAGGCAGCTAGATTGTTGTGATCAGATTCCCAATATAAAAGATGAAATCACGAATCAATGAAAAATCCAATTCTAAGAGAAGGATGGTTTGCTAGAACTGTACAAAACTTATCTCTAAGTCAACATTTCTAATTAGAGAAGATGAAAAGAGCTGCATGGAGGGTGTGTTAAAATGTCCATTCCTCCGCCCATCCTTCAAAGATCCCATTTTAGTAGTTTGGGAAGAAGATGTACTTCCCATGGTTGCACCTACTTAGTTAGCACCACTGTCTTAGTGGAGAATTCTACCAGGGAAAGAAATACATTAAAGGCAGTGAAAAATGAATTTTCAGAAAAAGTTAACTTTTCTTCCTTTAAACGATTCAGAGACAAGTATTACTTTCATAGGAAAATAAAATTACTATTATAAGAAGATATCTGATTCAAAAAAATCAACAGTAATGCATCTAATTTGATTTGTATGGAGAACCAGAGACTATTCCTCTACTTTCTGTTGAAGACATTTTTTAAACATATCATTTGTACAAAGTAATCATCTAAAAAGTGCAGAAAGCAGTGGAACATTACAAGAACAATTTGGAGAAATTTTTTAAATTTATTGATTTATTCAACAAATGTTTATTAATCACACAAAGAAGTAAGAAGAAACAAACATAACACAGTCTAGATGGGAATTCAAATGAGTTATCAGCCCAAGGTACTGTGGTAAAGGATAAAGACAGAATGCTAAGGCAGGATAGGAGAGGTACTCATAGGAAAGTTCTAAGATAGGATATTTTGATCTTTTCTTGATCTTTAAGCAAAATTAAGTAACAGTAATGAAAAAATGTTGAAGGCATGACGGAATTTCATGCCCTGTTAAGTCATTCGGATTTTTTTTTTCTGAGAACACTGAGGAAACTTCAGTTTACAGTAAATGGTGATAAAATCAAATGTATATTTTAGATGGATCCACCCTGGCTATAAGGTCAGAACTAGATGGTAAGGGCGCAGTCATCAACATCACTGATTTGGAAATGAGAGACTAGAATGACTTTACTGCTCTAGTGGCAACAAGTAAATGGGATTCAAGGAATACAGTAGGTAGAATTGATGGGCCTTGGCCATTGATAGGATGTGGTAGGACAGGGGTCAGGCAAGATGTGTTTTCAGGTACAGACAACTGTGAGTGAATGACAGGTGGTGTTATTCACTGAGATAGGAAGAATGAGTTTGGGAGAATTAGTTGAGTGTTCTCTTTACTACATGTTAGGTTTGAGATATGTACTTCTATATACAGCAAATAATTGGATACGTTTATCTACTTCTCAAAAAAAGTGCAGAAAATAAAGACTTGAAAGTCATTAATTACTATGTTGATGAGATATTTTTCCTTAAGAGAAAATGAGAACTATTTTACAGAATGAGGAAAGGGTCTGGATAGATTCTAGATACTAAATTGTTTAAGGAATCAATAAAGAACAAAGAGGATTTAATGATACTAAAGCTGTGTTTTTGTTTTTTCAAAATTAATTACCAGTATACCATATATTAATAGGAAAAAAATCACTTAAAAATATTAAAGTTTATTTGCCCTACAAATTGAATTTTAATCACCTAATTTTCCTCTAGATTTACTCATGGAAAATAAAATAAATAGAAATAAACTATTAATAACCTTTTGACATTATATAAATTTTACATCATAGGAGTAAAAGGCTATTTGCAAGATTTAATTAAACTATTTCATTTTATATAAAATGAAACTAATTCATTGAAATTGTACTGCAATCATGACTAGGCCAATATATTCCCTCCCATAAACATAAACAAACAACTTGGAATATTGGTTTTTATGAAATGCAAAAATATATTTTAAAAATGATTTGAAATTCTCCAGATAATAAAAATTTTAAGAGATATCAAAAGAAGTGTGTTATAATTCATGTGTTGTGATTTATTACTTTTAAGGTATTTGGAATTTAAATGCACAGAAGGGAAAAAATATCCAACTTCATTTTCAAGAATTTGATTTAGAAAATATTAATGATGTAGTTGAAATCAGAGATGGTGAAGGTGATTCCCTGCTCTTAGGTAAGTCTGCAATTTAAATATTGTAAAAGTTGCATGATTGAAGACATTAGATAATAGAGAAAGTACTTTTCAATAATTATAATAAACTTTACAACTAGCAAAATGAAAATACAGCAGTAAAATAACTTGTTGAACTTTATATGAAGCTTTCAATATGGAGAGGGGAGTGCTTGCAATAATGACAGAATTATATTCTTCTTGAGCATTCTTAGAAAACCAGGGATAATATTTTTGTGTCAGCAGATCCTATCAACTAGCATTAATTCACCACAATAACCATTACATCTTGGAGATTAATTGCTCAAGATACCCATTATCTGGTTTTCTATGTATTATGTGTGCATCAGATGGCCAAATATAACTATTAAATCAAGTTTTATTTCACTTTAAAAAATTGTGTTCATACAAAATAAATTGTTATGAACATTTTTGAATGATTTTAATTTGCATTTCATTATTTTTTTTATCTGTGTCTCTGGTACTAGTTTCTTATAAAAAAAAGTTTCTGAAAACAATACAAAACTTGACCAAAGTTGATTTTTTTCCTTTCATTTATTGACAATTAAATTATGAAGACTAAGGAGTCAACTGGAATGCATGAAGCAACAGACTTTACAAATAAAAGTGTTTTATCTAACTATGCTTTTGACTCATGTTCTGTATAATCAGGATGAAGCTACATGATCACTGGAACCAAAGCAAGAGAACTCTAAAGGGCATGTCCTATAAAATTAAGGGGAAATAGGTGGGGAGGGTTTCCCAGACTCATGAATCCATCACTCCTGATGTTGGGTTCTTAAAAAACATTTCACAAGTTATCTAAAGTGCAAGGTTTCTGGAAAAGGATTTTGAGATTCATACTCAACAAATAAACAATGAAAGTCTTGAAGAGACTTTGGAGGCTAGTGCCAGCAAGAACTAAGGTTTTCAAATTTGGTTTTCATATGTACAATTATAAACATATTTTGAGTCACTTTGCTATTTTCAAATTACATTGTCTCTCTAATAAAAACTTCAGTTTTCTCATTATCTAAGAGGAATCATTTTTTACCATGTTACCTCTTAATATTTGTATGTCATTGAAACATAAATAACCACTCAAAGTATCTCATAATTATGGTTTTCAAATTTTTTAGGCAAGATGTTCTCTTGAAACAGAATCAATTTTGGGGATTCCATTATAAAATATTTAATAAGATGAATGTGTTTTTTTAATTAGCTTAAAATTTAGTGAAGAATATTTAATTGTTCATGAAATCCCCATTTGAAAACCACTATATAGGTTTGTATTTTCTGTATCTCATTACCCCATCTTTCAAATTATTAGTTTATGGGTTTATGATTCAACTCACAAAAAATATGAAATAATTTGGGGCCAAATTTTACTATCATTGGAGATGATAGTCTCTAATGTTTTATACAATCATTATTTCGGGAAATAGCATAAGTTTTGAATAGTAGTGGTGCTAAGTCAGACAAGATGAGTAATTCATCATTAAATTGTGGAGATACAGAAACTTCAAATAATACTGAAAAAGATCAACAAAGCAATTGGCTTTCCTAAAAGCAGTGTCCAAAATATAAAAGAATGTGCATATTTATTTGTACATAGCTACTTCATTAGCAAACCAACTTCCAGGTGATAGAATCACAAAATGGGTTATATTTCCTTCTAGATTAAAAAGGTCATATCTCTGATTTTATTCATTTTCCTTTGGGGCAGCTGTGTACACAGGGTCTGGTCCAGTAAAGGACGTATTCTCAACCACCAACAGAATGTCTGTGATATTCATCTCCAGTGATAATGGGGCAAAAGGGGGATTTAAAGCAAACTTCACTACTGGCTACTACTTAGGGATTCCAGGTAAGTGTGCTCAAATTATATGTTGCATTGCAATTTTTTGTGCAAAACAATAAAAGCATATAGAATTTCAAGATCTAAATATGATTGAAGATTTTCACTTTAAAACATACATTGTTCATCATCTTAAAGAAGATTTTCTTCCTTCCTTAATATCTGTTTAACCACTATCTGAATTTATTCAGAACAGCAATCCCTATTTTTCAACATATCACATGACTCTCTGTGTCTGAAGAATCATGAATTTTGTCCACTGGAAAATGCCATTCTAAACATGAAGAGTAGAGTTCTTGGGGAAGATTGTCCTGTTCCTTTTGCCAAAAGTAGTTTCAGAGAAGATCAGGGAGACAGGCAACTGAGTTTTTTGAATACCAACAACATCCAATTTAAAAATTAACATCATTAAGTTCTTAGAGACAAACATCATAAAATCTCTGCTATCATGAAGGATGAAAGAATTTGATCCTTTCACTGACATGTACAACCTTCTTACTCTAGATTTTTTTTTATCACATCTAAAACATAATCAGTAGGAAAAACTTCGGGCCTTCCTGCTCATCATAGATATCTAAATCTATAACCATATCTGTATCTTTACATTCCTAAGTAGGGGGTATAATATAACTCCTTGCATTCAACAATATACAGAGAAATTTTTATAGCTTGCCGCTTTCTTTGGACTGTAATATTTATTTTTTTCAAATTGTTGTCAGATAACTCAGTGGTTTTCGCTAGGTCCAGATATACCAAGAGTGGTATAACAACTCAATTTGCCCTCAAGAAATTTGGAAAACCATGACCATTTTTGGCAGAGCAATTTTCTGCTGAAACTCTACCATAATCGGATTATTCTTTGAGTTGACTAGAGGCCTTTAGTAACAATTTGTACTGTACATTTCTTGGTCATATGTACTCAAAAACTCTGGCACTAAAATACCCATATTTTCCACAAAAGTTGTTGCACAAAAGCATGGTGAAGATTGCAAAAATAATAGAGATTACAAAAATAATAGAATAATGTGGAAAAACATGAGAGTCTATCATGGGCATGAAAGAAAAATGTTAAGACACAACTATTTAAAAATAATAGACTTCCAAAAAGAAAAGAATCAATCAAAATTAACAGTAAAAGGTAAAAGGGGAAAAATTATATACATTCTGGATCTGATTAAAGAGGCCTAAAAACTCAGTCCTTCTGGTTTCTGTAAGAAATGAATTAGCAGGAATCAGTGTTATAAAATTTCCTGTTTAAGTTTTAAATTTCAAGAGGAAAGTTTTGAGCAAATTCCTAAGCAAAATAAACATCATCATTGTACAAAGTTGTTAGAAATTAGATCAGCTTTATATTTCACTCATTTTTTAATGAATATTTAAAAACAGGACCTCCCTGGTAGCCTAGGGTTTCAGTCTCAGCACTATCACAGCTATGGCCTGAGTTTGATCCCCGGCCAAGGAGCTGACCCACATGGTACAGCAGACCTCTCCTGTTTCACCCCCTGCTCCCCTCAGCAGTGTATTTCAGTAGGTCCACCTGTTCTGCTCCCCACTCTGTCTCTGGTGAATCATCTCATTCCCCCACCCCAACTCTGGCCTATACCCCAGTTCTTCTATGCAAAAATTTAAAAATAAAGAAATAAAAAGGGTGCTGTGATATTTCTACATTTTTGAGGAAAATCTACTTCAATAATAATAAATAAGCATCAATAGAATTCATATTTGAACACAATAGAATTATGTGTTAATTTCTTCAAAGTATCTTAAAATAGAGGCAGCAAACACCAAATACTGGAGGAGAGAGTCTCCCAACTTTTATTCCAAGAATGATATCATGGAACGAAGTATTATATTTTTTTAAAAATTGGAGCTGAATAATAAAACTAACTGAAAGTTCTAACTGATAAGGGGTAAGGTAAATTTATAAACCTAAATAATTGAAATCATTATCAGGCATTACCCCATTTATAAAAATGAAAGCATCTTAAAACAAATTTTGGAGAAATAGTTGCTTTTTAAGCCTGTATTTTAAATTATAAATGAGGAATAAAAAAGTAGAAAAAAGAGTATATTGTGAAAAGGAAGACAGCAACAAATTTTGAAAAATATTAGATGCCTTTTATATTCAAGAAAAGCCAAGCAAGCATAATCTATTATTGAAAATACAAAATAGATACCAGATTTATGGTGTAGGGGCTGCCTATATTTGTTTGCTCTTTCACTAGTTTTCAGTTACTATTAGTATGTCATTTAAGAAATAGATCGTTTTAAGAGCAATTTCTCTTGATTGAAGGTAGAATGAAGCCTTCCATGGCCATCCCTGTGTGGTGAGTATGCCAGGAATGTGGTTTCACATTCTTTCTGGACACAGATAGAGGCTGCCAGGGAGCAGAAAATGAAACTAGTGGGTTGTCATCAGCACAGTCTACTCCCAGCAAGAATTTTGCTCTGAAAGATTGAAAAGCAATTACAGAAGCAGGGAATTGGCAAGGGGAAGATAATCAAGCTAGTAATAGAAAGAGATCAGGTATACATCTCTGTTTATATTGCAGCTCTACTCTGGTGATCATTTTTGAAAAATATAAGAGATATCATAAGCTTTCAGCACTTATGTGCTTCTTTTATGACGTAGTTGGGGGCTGCTTGCAAAGCATTAAATTGAAATATCAAACAATTGTATAAGGTATTTTGTATCTCCTATTTTTGTCCTGTTTTAACCTTTCTATATATATATTAAGCTAGAGTATGTGAAATTTGGATTTATTAAGATCGGTCTCCAGTAAATGCCTCCTCATTGCTCTTTTCTGATACTTGGAGTCTTAATTAGGAATTCAACAGTGCTTATCAGGCAACTGTGGAAGTGACAGCTGATTACATCCAGGGGGTTCAAGCCCTCCCCAGATTGTATGGCATGTGCTATGGAGATCATTTCAGTTCCATTTTTAAACCAAGCATATGTTGACTGAATGAGGCAGGGTTACTAGAGACTTCATAAAAAGAAGATAGGAAAATTCAATTCTTAGCAATATTTCTTCTTTCTTCTCTCATCATGAGCATAAAACAATCAGAAATAAGATTTCAGAGGCCACAGAGAATTAAACTTTGGGATTAAAGAGTCTTAATGAACCTAAACTGCTATATGTTGCAAAGAATCAGAAATGAATTCATGCATGTAAAAAAATTTTGAGTTAATTTATGCCTCTTCTCAGAATTTATAATTTTTATTCTGTTCATCAACAATAGATTATTTTGCCCCATTCAGCATCATTTCATCCAATGCATACATCTTAAAGAAACTAATTATTCTGCATTCATAGAGTATAATCCTAGCAGTTTGGGCTAGACCACAAAAAATCAATTATAATTTTCAGATATTTACATGTTTTCATTTATATATTTATTCAGAAAATTAAATTTGCTTCCAGTCAATGAATATGTGCTTTTCCAGTTAAATACAGCCTGACTATACTAGTAAAAGAGTAAAATTACCAATAAATGTATTTATGATTAAATTATTCACTTTGAGAACTCTTTTCTACATAACAATTTATCAAGCTATAAAAACAAAATAATGAGATAATTTAAAAATTAGTGGTGAATTGCATTTTATAAGTATGTTAAGATAGTTGATCATGGATATGTAATTAGTGCTGTCAACCCTGTAAATATATACTGAGCATAGATTTAAAAATACAATATGTATATAGAAGACATGTATACCTAGTTTTAAGCTTTCCTATTTTCTAAAAGATTAATACAGGGAAGGAAATATAAAGTCAGTTAACATTATTAATTCTTGCCTGTAGAATATGTTGTTGTCTTTACCCATTTAGCATCCCACTAATCTTGTTTAAAAAGTGTGTGTTTGTGAAACAAATTAACAATTACATTTACAAGATATATAATACTCCCAACAGTATTATATTAGAGATGTGCAACCTACTTTTCCCATGGCATAAAGATTTATCAAAACAACCAGTCCAGTCATGTCTTCCTTAAAATATTTTTTTCTTTAAAGTAATTTAGATTTTGATTGAAAATATATAAAATTTTTGAAGTTTAAAATAAAGTATATAAATAGCTTCAATTATTGTTATAAGATACCCAGAGGAATGTCTTAGACATGATTTTTTTTCTTGCTTATTTGGTTATCAGCAGGAAAAAAAAAACCACTGGGGCATATGGAAGTAAGAACATTATTTTACAAATGTCAGTAAAATGAATATTTTTTTTAAATGTCACTATTTTGTTAAGAATATTATTTATTTGGTTAGGTATATTAAAGGCATTTCATTATCATTGTTTAAATATATGTTTAAGATATAAATAGTTCTTTTTGACTAATTATAATAAAGAAAAAATCAAAATCAACAAGCAACTATAAACCAGAGACACACTATGGGGTGAGTGGGGGAGAGGAGGGATTAGGGTCAAAATAAGTGGGGGTGGGAATTGTATGGGGAATATAACCAAAATTAAAATGCATACATTGTGCAGAAATGAAAAAAATGATGTAAGAATTATATAAAATAGAATATATGAAAATAAAAATAAAATAAAATAAATAAATAAATAAATAAATAAATAAATAGTTCTTTTTCCCATTTGACAGTTAAGGAAACAGATTATTTTATTTGCCCAGGTCAAAAATAAATAAAAATATAATGGCTAAATTACAGCTCAACCCAAAGTCATATAATCCTAGAATTTTTCTCAGTATGACTATCTATGCTGAAGACATATGAGTGGAAGAGACATTAATTTCTCCAAACCCAGGTACCATCTTCCTTCTCAGGGAATTCAAATCCCATGTGGCTCTCAAAAGAGATACAAATACCTGTGTAGAGCTAGATATCCCTCCCAGGCCATGATCAGAAAAGACCTTGAGGGAAGCTGACCCTTCTCTCCTGGTGAAATGTAACTCTTTAAGACCAGATAAACGGGACCTCCCCGGTGGCACAAGGGGTTAAGCACAACACTGTGAAGCAATCCACAGCCTCTGCAGCACAAGATCCATCCCCTGGCCAACAGGGAGCACCTACATGGCGCAGCAGACCTCTCCTGACTCGCCCGCTGTGCCCCTCAGCAGTGTATTTCAGTCAGTCTGCCTGTTCTGCTCCCCACTCTGTCTCTGGTGAATACTTTCACTCTCTGCAACACTGGCCTGTACCCCAGTTCTTAAATGCATAAATAAATCTTTAAAAAAAAAAGACCAAATAATTCCAAGTACAGCAGTACCCAATCCTTTTAAACATGAATATTTTCCAGTATGCCTTTTTTGGACATTCAAACTCTAAAAACAACTATTCTCTGCCTTCCTGTCTGCTCAGTTCCGTGTTTGCTTAGCCTTTTAATTTTCCATGCTTTTGCATTCTGTGAATTATATTCTCGTGAGTCCAAACCTGCTTTACTTGTTTGAAACTTCATCCCCAACTTATAGAGTTTCATGTCTTTGGGACACTTTTCTCTGCTGAATAACATTTTGATTGAACTTGCTGTCTCCAGGGTGGCCAACTATGGTTCTACCAAAAGGCAACAAGCACATTTCTGTATCATAAAGGTTTGTTATTTGGATGGGAAAGCAAACAATCTCTCTATGCTGGCGTCACATACTGCAATGGTTTCTTCTTATACAAATTTAGAGTGGAGATATTTATTGAAAAAATACTACTGAGAATTTGTAAGGGAGAAGTGTGTGCCAAACCTCAGTCATCTCTTAGAATTGTCCCATGCTCTGTTGCAAAGGTGATACCTACAGTTTTATCCACACTCTTCTCAAGTCACCTCTGATTTCAACACTATTATCATTGTGTTATTCTGAGCAACTAAGTCTTTTTTTTTTAAGAATTATTTATTTATGCATACAAGAACTGGGGTGTAAGCCAGAGGTGCATGGGGTAAGAAGATTCACCAGAGACAGAGTGGAGAGCAGAACAGGCAGAGCTACTGAAATACACTGCTGAGGGGAGCAGCGGAGAAGACATGAGAGGTCTGCTGCACCGTGTGGGTTGCTCCTGGCTAGCCAGGAATCGAACAGGTGTTGTAGTGGCTTGCAGTAGTTTGATATTGCTGTCTTTAACTCCGGTGCCACCAGGGAGGCCCACAACTAAGTCTCAATACAAAAGCAGGCTCAACCATGTGCTATGGCAAAGAGCTGATGTGTTAAGGGGCAAATATGAGACAGGTACTCCAAAATCACCTTTCATTTCTTTATCCTTTACAATAAATATTCTTTCCCCATAGAACCCTGCAAGGAACATCATTTTCAATGTAAGAATGGAGACTGCATTCCAATGGCGAATCTCTGTGACAGTTTTCCACACTGTCAGGATGGCTCAGATGAAAAGCATTGTGGTAGGTTTTATTCTTAGAATAATACTTTTATCACTGTAACCTATGGATTTTATAAATTAATGGAAGATTGTGAATGTGCTTACTAGGACATGCTTTGGTGCTTTTCATATGCATATCATTCTTGGTGAATTCAGCAATTCTGCCCCCATTCTGGTTAGGAAAAAAATTAACAAGAAATCCTTGACTTTTTGTTTGTTTATTTACATTTGGCTATATTTAATAACTTTATGTCTAGGAAAATATATATATATATAGGAAACATAAATCATCACAGAGGCAATAGCCCACATCAGACTTTCTAGCCCTGTTCATATTGACTGCTATTCTCTGTAACCTGCCTATGTACAGAGGAATCTCCATGCTTTTTTATAATTTATTTTCTTAGACTTGGTCTTTTGCATTCTTATTTCTTCAGTATATTTTTCCTTTGCCTTTCTGAGTCTTAAGTCAGTCACCCTGCCTTTATAACATGAGTATTGGTACTATGTCTTATTTTCATTTCTACACACATATTTCATGCTACTTGTTATGTGCCAGGCATTATAACTAAGTGCACTAAAAAATCTTAATATAGTGAAAACTAGCTCTATTTTAGCCTTAAGAAAACCAAGCCTTGATGAAGTTAAGTGACTGCCAAGGGCTTGAGCTGTTTTAAAGACAAATTTGTCTAAATCTAAGTCAATAATGCCCTCATTCTTCTCATAATAGGAAAAATATATAAACAATAATGTTTGCTTACAGAATTACAATATGGTGTTTGTGGATAAAACAACCTTTCTGATGTTTTACTTATTTGATAAACTAGCTTAGCTTGGCCCAGTTCCTACCTGGCCACGAATGGACTGAATGCCTGTCCAAAATGGTTATCAGATGGTGAGGAAGAGGATAGAAACCAAACAACAAAGGAATAAATGGACAGAAAATAACTTCTGGAAAAAGGAGTAGGAAAATCTGCTTTAGGCTGATTCTGAACTTTATAGTTTTCCTGTTTTTAGAGACTAAGTTTCTATGATATCACTTTATTTTCTGTTTTGCTGCATTGATATGCAATGAACTTGTATCTCTGCCTTTCTCATTTTTAGTTATATGAAAAAGCAAAGTTAAGTCTACCAAATTTGTATTTTTCAACTTAGCCCTCTATCATACTGTAAACTCTAAACATTGCACTTTTAGTTTAGAGTCCATTGTTTACTTTGATGTACTTTGGTCCAAATGACCCTGTTGTGATCTAATCTCTTTAGTGCGTCTTTTCAATTCAACGATGAAGAACAATGGTTTGGTGCAGTTCAGAATTCAGAGTGTGTGGCATGTGGCTTGTGCTGAGAACTGGAACCCCCAGATTTCAAATGATGTTTGCCAACTGCTGGGACTAGGGTAAGTAATTCTACTCTCCCCCTCTTCAGGGATTCTCAAGCTTTTTTGATATCAAATTGGATTTTCAAAGAAATTTAAAATTTATGACAGTTATGAATCTAGAGAGTAAAAATCTTTACTTCATTCCCAATAAATTAACCATTGCCAATAGCCTTTCTATAAATATTATGTAAATGCAAATTTATAGAAACATTACATTATAAAATATTTTATTATATGATCCAATGGTAGTTTTCCTACACAGGAGTTTTTTTTTTTTTCCCCATGTCATGATATTTTCTAAACATTATAATTTTTTAAAATAACATGACATTTCATTTTTATCATAATAGATATAACTAATTGGAAGGGTACCACAGAGAACATACTTTTGTTATATGTTTATAACATGTTCACAATAGCTCTTTCGTAAAATGTGTGGCAGTACAACGGTTTTGTAAAAGGATGAACAAAATTTTAAGACTCTTCCAAGAAGGGTAATCCAAGTGATAATTTCATATTTGTGATGCACCAAAAATTTAATATACCTCCCAATCTAATGTCATAATATAATGAATCAAACATAGAAAATTCACCATTGCTTTTACCTTCCCATCAGTTACAAAACTAGTAAGATGAAAATGGAAGGTATTCAGTAGTAATAATTTACTTCCTTTAGATGTACAGTTTACCTATCTGATTTTCCATCTGACCCTTCAGCACTCATGATTTGGGAGACTTAACAACATTGTGTAACACATGTTATTTTTATCACTTATAACAGTCTATTGTTTATTTCACTTACCATAGTAAGTTATGAAATCATAAGAACTAAATGTATTTTATCCATTATTGCATTGCTGACATCTAGAATTATCCTTATCTCAAAATATTGTGCCAAAAAATGTTGTGGAAGAAATAAATTATTCATTTATTTCAGGTATACCTGTATATGTAAATACAGATATAATTCACTAACTTGTCCAATTAACTCATCATTTTTTTGTCCTCTACTAGAAATGGCTTTCTAATTTATTCTAAAAAATTCTAATTTGTTCTAAAAAAAATTATTCTAAAAATTTATTCTAAAAAATTGTACCGTTTATTCTATAACGTTAGAAAAGAAAATTGGAGTCTACATCCACCCATACACAGGATTTGGCAATTGTCTCAGCTATTCCTTAATAATTAAAGTCAAACATAATTGATTGCTTCTCTTATATGGGGCTCCTCTTTCTGATTAGTAGTTCACAAAGAGTTCTCATGCAATATACATATCTTCAAAATTTATTTCAAAGTGGCTTTCTTTTAACTTAAAACATATTTCCCACTAGAAATAGCACCACATGCAGTGATTAGGTCTTCAGTCCATCCTGTAACAGTTGTTTAATTTCTAGTAGATGGAGAAAGTTATACTCTACTCAAACCAAGATATACCTAAACACAACATGTAGATATTTACCATAGAAAAATGGCTGAGTTAAAGTCAGAATATCAAGAATCTCCCAAAACTTACTGCAATTAGACTGAGAACTTTCAACTCACACTATCTCCTAAATGCTACTCATTCAGAATTCCCTAGCTCCAAGCCTCAGGCAGGTGAAGTCAGTCTCATCAGGAAGAGCAAGGAACGAAGTGAGTCATCATCCAGTGTGTAAATAATCATCAATTTAGCTTATGTCTATTAGTTAGAATCTTCCTATACTTTATATGTATATGTGTCAATTTCCTTTTATTATACATTATAGCTTGCATTCTTACAAAAAACCTTTCAACATGATGGGCTTTCAGACCTAGAGTGGCAGAGGGTGAGTTGTAATGTTTTTTGATGAAATCAACAAAAAACTGAAGCTGACATTTATTTACTTATCTCGTTACTAGTAAAGCACCAGGTAAGTGACATTGATTCCCAGTTCCTACTTGAAGACTGATTTCATTTAATAGTGACTTCATATAGGTAAGGCCATAGGAAGTCATTTGCTTCCACTTCTAAGTTGCCAGCGATACCTGAGGAGCAGTTTTACAGACTCAGAACTTAGTTTGCAATGATTAGGCTAAGAAGATTGGTAACTTCAATTGTTTCCACAATTGATGTCTCGGATGCCCTAGATGATTGGGTTTCCACCCCAGAGGGGCTGGTGTTCCAATCCGCCACCTTTCTAAGTATGATTATAAACGCAGGCATTCTTTTCAATGTGGTTTGTGAATCTTAACTAAATTGTTTCCTGGAGGATATATGGAGTTAAAGGAATCATTTGCAAAGGTCAAATGCTCAACATTTGTTCGCCAGAAGTTTTTTAAAATGAATTTGAGTAGAATGTATTGGGTGATGGCATCAAGCTAATTTCTGCCGTTGCCTGAGACAATTGTCCTGGAAAGGACACATACTTTTCAACAGTTGCTAATATAAATACATTATTTTGATGACTCCGGGATCAGAAACCCAAGCATTAGCAATGAAACTGTGTCTGTTCCATGCATTATATTGACTTTCTTGCCTTCAATGTGGTGGGGATAGACATATAAATGCTATAGATAATTGTAATATATGTGATAAATACAGTGTGCTCTAGGAGAATCTACTCAATTTGGGCATGTTGGGGAAGGCTTTCTAGAAAATGCCCTACGTGGAATGGATGACAGCCAATTCCGCACAACTGTGTACTATATATTTACAAGTTTTTACTTAGCTAGATTTTACTCTCTAGTTCACTGACCTCATCTTCTGGCAATCACAGTGCTTCCAGCAGGAGGGCCAAAGAACTGGATTTTTTTTTTTTTTTTTTTAGTGTTGCAAAGCAAGTAGTGCATCTCTCCACCGTTGATCCAGTGTTCATGATAAAGGTCAGGCACTGACTTTTTTCAGAAATGAGCCAGTAATCTCTGCAAAGTCTTTCATCTTTGGGCCTGCACTTATTGAGTAGTCTCCGTAGTGCTCTGGCAATTGAAAGACAGTTACAGCCTTAATGAGAATTTGTTTAGACTGGTGCATAGTAACTTAAAGAAAACAGTGAGTTTATGGTTGTGGGAATTTCATGGGCACTATAACCAAGATGAGAAAGCATACATTGTAAAAAAAATGAAGAACAATGTAAAAAATATATAAAATAAACTAATAATTTCACAAAGCAACAAAAAAATAAAAATAATAAAATGATGTGTTTTGGTACAATAAAAAATAATTTTGGACTCCATTTATTCAAAAGACACTGTAGTCTCTCAAAATTGTTTCAGCAGATTGGGTACAAAATGCAACTCCCCCCAGATTCTAGGAAACCCTATGAGGAAGATTGCGTTGGTTTTGCCACATTTTAAATAAAACACTGTAGGGGCAGGATGGGCACAGAGCAGAATCTCTATGCTCCAAGCAGATAGGTTAAAGGAGAGTGTCCTGGAGCCCTCAGTGGCTTTTTCAGGGTTTTATTGGGATTTTTACCAAGCATATGGCAGGCAGGGGTGTCTGGGGTCCAGGGAGACTGGCAGGCCTCCCAGGTCCCCGTGAATCTTCACTCTTTCTGGGCTCTCTGGCCTTCTCTCATGGTCTCATTCTCTCTCTTTTGCTTCTCTTCTGGTGGTTCTTTTCCTGCTCCTTCTGTCCTCTGGCATCCTATGATGCCACCCTTATAAGCCCAGTCTCTCAGCCCAGGTGTCCCCGCCTACGTATGCCCATACCCCACTCCAGGTGCCAGGCATTAGGCATGCATTCAGGACAGCAGGATCCATCATTAATCCTAATGGCGGGAGGGCAGAAAAGGCTGACGATCATTTACTTTACAAACACACTTTCATTTTCTGTCATTTATAGCATGGGTAAAGTGATAAAGTACTTTGAATGACATTTTCATGTCTCTGAGCAAAGTATGAGAGAAAACATCTACTAATATAAGAAACTTAGTGATTTTTAACATATTACCTCAGAAAATATACTACCCAGTTACTACCCCAGGAAATGAATTATGCAGTTGATTGTCTTGTTAACATTATTAAAAATATGATGCCATCAACTCTGCCCAGCTTTACAACATGATGAAAATTCTCACATCTTGAAGGTAGAGTTGGATACATGCAGATGCCGCTCTGAGAATCTGGGGTTCATTTTTAAATCCCATAATAATCCTGTACAAGAGACATTCAGTTCAAATATCAGATACATCAAGTTGATCCTCTTGTTCTCAAACCCATAAGAAATGAAATCACTTCAGTGTTCTTCCATTTCAGAGGTGTTTTGAAAATGTTGGGGTTTGAGGAGTTAAATATATTTTTAATAAAGCTTCCCAAAAACATAGAGCATCTTGATTTAACTTCCTATGTAAACACCAGAGCATTGGTAGCCACAATACAGCACTGGATCCTGATAAATAGAAAGAATCTGTGTTTTATTTCATTTTAGTTTAAGAAATGGGTAGACAAGTAAACACCCTGTGCTGATATATATTTTCTGCCACTGTTCCAAATTTTCTATTATATGGGAAAAGCTTTAATATAAAGCAATAATAAAGATATGAGGATTAGCAAAATAAAATATTACCTTCAACCTCAAATGATTTCTTTTAATTTGCTAATTTTACACAGAAATAGTTTTATAATATTATCTGTTATTTTTAATTTGTGAATTCAACACTAAAAGGAAATTTTTACTTTGTTCTTAGCTGTGCTCTTAGTGTGGGATAGATAGGAGGGAAGGGTAGGTGAAATGATTAAAAAAAAAAGCAACTTATTTTACTAGGTTTAATTGACCAACTTAAAGAATTCATCATTAGCCTGGGGTACAAATTATCATCCTGGTATTCTTCCTATTTTAAAATTAGAAATACATTGATTAAAATACATATGGGGAAAATAATCAATAACAAGCTGCAGTGACTATAACTTTTTTTTTTTTTAATTTATACAAGAACTGGGATATAGGCTAGAGTCACGAGAGGGTTAGAGGATTCACCAGAGCCAGCAGGGAGCAGAACAGGCAGACTAACTGATATACACTGCTGAGGGGAGCAGTGGGCTAGACAGGAGAGGTCTGC